TGATGGGAAAGGAAAGAAAAGGCAAGAGTTTTTCCAGAAGCAGATGAGGCAGGTTTGAAAAAAAGAGACCAACATTACTGGGGAAATCTTCCCTGAGGCCAGTGTGCTGCAGGAGGGAAAGAGAAATGCACGAGGCGGAGGCAGGTGTGTGTGCGGGGGGTGGGGTATGACCAGGTCTTGGTCCCTGTGCACTCCTGTGCTTCTGGACACACAACTCCACAAGGAAAAGCCGAATCCTGTAAGCTCTCTGAAACTGACAACAGTTTGTTGATCACGGCTACAAGGAGCGGCCCGCTGCAGGACCATGACCTCAGCATTTATTTTACGATGTTTTTCTCTGGGCTTTTCTTGCTGTTTCCCTTTCAGGTCACCAGGTTGTCCTAGAGGTTTATAAATACCATGCACTTCCTCTAGCAACTGACTGGCTGGCCCTGGTCACTACCCGGCTTCTTCTCCTTGACATCCCTCCCTAGTTCTCCGGTAGGTCTCTTGCTGCAATCCAGACACTGCACCTGGTCCCAGTGAAATCCAGAGCCAAGGAGTCCCTCACTGGAGCCCCGGGGGCCGCGGTCAGTGTGATCTCACGCCAGGGACAGCAGCCAGCTGTGGGCAGAGCCCATCACCCGGGTAGCTGGGCTGTATTTTCTCCCACTGTGTTATGCGTGTTTAGCGTAGTTTATCTCATGTCCCTTCCCTCCTTCAGTGTTTTTGGGTACGCGGGTAGTTGTCACCTACAATTTAGTACATGGAGTACAAGAAAAAGAGACAGGGTCCTGGCCCCAAAGGAAAGGAACAGAGTGGGACTTGCCCTGCTGTCAATGACAAGTTCTGGTTGGCTCCTTTTGGGGGGAGATTTCCTGCCCCACCAGGCAGGAGCACCGGCAGGTATCAGAAGCGTGATATTACATAGCAAGGCCTGGGCTCTAGGGGACTTCTTTTTGGTCACCCAGCTTCTCCATTTGGAGACCCCTCTGCCGTGGGAGGCAGACAAGACCTCCTTCTTGCATCTCCCATGTGGCCGAAATGCCACCTGCCAGGCTTCTGGGTCCCTTGCAGCAGGTGTATGTGCCCTGCCCACAGCAAGCGTCTGCCCCCCACTCTGACCAGATCTCAGAGAGGCCAGGACACAGGGGCTGAGTCAGTTCATTTTAGTAGGGTGGCAGCTGCAGGGTCAGCTCCAGTATGTCCCTGGCAGTGGACTCTGGTGGCATCAGCAGCTCACACTGCACTCAGTGCTTAGGGGCAGTGGCAGTGGGGTGTTGGGGACGTGCCTGACCCATCCTCGCAGAGGTGCTCCCATCTTGTGTGAGGGGGAGAGGGCAGAGGGGAGAGTGCCTCCCCACCTGGCTTCCATGGAGGGGATGTGAGTTACAGCCTCCAAGGTCCCCGATTTCTTTTCTGCAAAAAGATGGTGGCCTTGCTTACGGGGCCGCCTTGGGTGCTCACAACCCAGATGCGTCTGCACCAATAGTTCATGCCCCGACAGAGCTGCCCCAGACTCCCGAGACAGGGCACATGTTCCCTGACATTAGACTTCAGGCCCCAGGAACAATGTCGCCATCTTCCCCACACCCGGTCTCCTGCTTCATGGCACCCACAGCCAACTGGGTGCCCAACCTAGGAACTGGCCCTTGCCCCACTCCTCCCTGTGCACACTGTCAGCGACATCGTCACTTGTTAAAGGTGCCCAGGCCGCGCCCACTGACCTGCAGGCTCAGCGCAGTCCTCTCTCCCTGGAGCTTTGACACCGGTCGGTCCTGACAGGTCCTACCTGGCTCTGCCTCTGGTCTGGACAGTCCTGCTGGAAGCCTTTGGGTAGCCTCGGGGGAACCCTGGAGCCTTCCTAACCTCAAGAGAAACCTGGAGGCTCCAGATCCAATCAGACAAGGAGGCAAGAATACTCAGGGATGAAGACAGACCCGTGTGGGACTGGGCAGGAGGGAGCAGGGCTCTGGGCTTCCCATTCCACCGTCTTTTTTTTTTTTTTGTACGAGGGACTGAACCTGAGGTGGGGGCGGGTGCTTAACCACCAAGTCACATCCCCAGTCCTTTTTTAAAATTTTGAGACAGGGTCTTGCCAAGTTGCTCAGGGCCTTGCAAAGCTGCAAACTTGAGATCCTCCTGCCTCAGCCTCCCATCCTGGGGATTACAGGTGTGTGCCACTTGTGCCCAGCTGCCCTCATTCCATTCCTGTCTAAATGATCCGGGTACTAACAGGTGGGTGCCGACCTGTCAGTGGCTGTCAGTGCACACTCTTCAACGCAGAACCGAAGCGTTCTTGCTCCAGTGACAGAATGGCATGTTCCTGTGTGCTGGGTCTTGAGCACGGCAACCTTTCATGCCAGCCCTTCAGGACATCCAAGTCAGGGGACATGCAGGGGAGGTGCTAACTGCACCTTCATAACTTCCCCTACTTCAATACAACTCCTGAATTTTGGCTGTCTAGAGTGCCATCCAGAGTAAAGCCTACACCTCCTAACCTCTCTTACAATTAGCTGAGCCCATATAAGTTCTGCAGGTAAATCATGGTGGTAAATGAAACCTTGAGGAAATATCCTTAAAGGGAAGGGAAGGAGTATTTTTTTTTTTTTCTTATCCTGGCCAGAATGTGAATGTGATGACTAGAGCCAAAGCAGCCATTTTGGACTACGAGGTGGATGTTATATATTGGGGCCAGTGCACCAACCCAGTTGCTGGCTTGGGTACCCAGCAATTGTGAGCCACTATACTACATCTGGACTGCTGGTGTTCACATGGCAGGTAAATAAACTACTTTGTTCCAGCCACCTTTACTTTTTGGATACAGAATCTGATACTTGGAAACAGGATACTATAAATAACATCTCAAATGTGGCAATGGCTCAGTGGAATTGGAAGGCCATCTTTTTTACATAATGGCTACAGGTTAGATGAAATTGTCACGTGTGTTATCTTAAAAGATGGATCACACACTGAGACCATAGCAATAGAAAAAGTAGGGGGCAAGTTCAAAAGTGTGACTGTTGCTCTTTGTTTTCTCAAGGTCCTATAAAGTTGAGTTGGAAGCTGGGTGCAGGGGTGCACACCTGTAATCCCCAGCAACTTGGGAGCCTGAGACAGGAGGATGGCAAGTTTGAAGCCAGCCTCTGAAACTTGGCAAGACCCTCCATAAATGGGACCCTGTCTCAAAATAAAATAAAAATAAAAAGGACTGGGGATGCAGCTTGATGGTAAAGCACCCTTGGTGGGCGGGGGGGGGGGGGGGGTAAAAGCTAGCCCGATTATCAGCAGAGATGGAAGGGAATCCTGCTTTGCCCAGGAGACTGAATTTGTAGCCAGCACTGAAAAGTTGATTAAAGTCTTCAAGTGTTGAAAACACCAACTGCTCTTGTCTTCCAAACTACAGCTATTAGGAACAGTGCCTTTAGCCAGGGTTGATGGCACAGGTCTGTAATACCAGTGACTTGGGAGGTTGAGGTAGGAGGATCTCAAGTTCAAGGCCAGCCTCAGCTACAGCAACTGAGTGAGACTCTGTTTCAAACAGAAAGGGCTGGAGATGTAGCTCAGTGGTAGAGCACTTGTCTAGCGTGTGCGAGGCCCTGGGTTTGACCCCCAGTACCAGGGGTGGTGGCGGGGGTGGGGAGGGAAGGGTGGCCTTGACTTGGGAACGAGCCAGGTTGGGCAGCAGCAGACTTCTCGGCCAGGATGTGTGAAGCAGGCAGCTGCAACGGTCAGATAGCAGGTACCGCCCACACTCCTAAGCTGGCAGTACTTAGGGTGTCTTCGCTTCCTGTGCAGGGGGGGAGGGGGGTCCTCTAACCACACTTCTGTTGCACATGGCTTCCTGGAGTGAGAACCATTCCCCCGCAGGCGGGGCCCGGTGAGTAAGTTCTGATCAATGGGATGTACAGCAGGTGACGGCGGCTGGGTGGCCACCTTGGACCTTGAGCAGCACTCTGGAAGGAACCTGGGACCGTGCTGATCATGGAGCCACCCTGGCAGCCCTGTGCAACGTAGGGTACACTTGGACTTGGTGTAAGCTACTGTTGTCACGAGAGAGGAACCTAATTCTGATCTAGAATTTGTCACCCAAGGTAAGGGCAGAGACAGGCACTGTGTGTGGGAGGTCATTTTCCTAACCAGGGAGGACAAGACAAGCTGAGAGCACCCTCTGCCCAAAGAGTGACAATAGGGGGCAACAAACAAACAAGTTCTGCAGGTCAATCATGGAAGCATTTGCAGAAATCAGACAAAGAATAAAGATGTCAACAGTCACGTTGCTGCATAGCTCGAACGCTTTTATATTGATCAAACAGCTTTCAGTAGAGTCGTCGCTGACAGTACAGGTCAGTATGAAAAACATTCCCAACTTACAGAAAAAAAAATATTGCTGATCCATTAAGATGCTTTTCAAAACAACATGGCTTAACATGATCCTTTGGTTGCTCTGAACAGCACGGGAGCCACCAAGATGGCAGGAGAGCCGGGCATCTGGCTCCCGGGTTTGGTTCCCCAGGCTGAGGCCACAGATGCTTTGCCAGTGAAGCTGAGGCTGCTCTCGGCCTAGGATGACAGGCGAGAACCAGAGGGCGGCAACCCCCATCTCTACATCCGACAGTGCCAGGGTCTGAGGGACAACCTCGTGGGGACAAGTCACAGAAGTGGGACACACGTGTCTCTGGTAGCTACACATTTTGGTTAAAGAACAATTTCACTCCTCTGGAAGATCAGACTCTCAGGACGGCAAATCTTGAGCCCACCGTCCCCTTCTAACTCAAAGGAAACCGAGGGCCACTGTGCTCTGCCTGCGTCCAGGTCTGGACGGAGCCTGCGTCTCCCGATCCTCCCCCATGGCTGCTGCCTCTTCGCCACGAAGAGACCTGTTGCTTTCCCCAGATGATCACTTCTGAGGAAGACAAAAAAGCCCAACCAGCAACAGAGGAGCAATAGCTTCTGCGCTGACCTAGAAGCGCATTTCAGTACGAAGCTAGGGGCTGGCGCAAGTTGGTATGGAGCCATCCTGCAACCAAAGTGATGTGGGTCTTTTCCTCTGGAGAGTCAAACCACCAAGTGCAGGTTCTAGAGCGACACCGATGAAGTTAGTAAATCAGGCACATCAGTGGGTCTAATTAGGCTTTCCGGAAAGCTCCAGAACATAGGAAATAAATGTCTTCTCCATTCTCATCTAGTCAAATTTCCCAGGCCAAATATTTACCCTGATTCCCATGCTGCTTTTAGGAGGAAAATAAGGCCTCTTAAGAATAACTGCCGACGGGCGGAAGGGGGTAGGCTGGGAGCTCGAGCTGTGGATTTTACTTTGCCGTCTCTGCAGGCTGCACTTGCATGTGCTGCTTCTTTAGATCATTTTCTTGTCTTTAGATCATTTTCTTCAAAGTAGTTCATGAATTTTGTTCCTGGCAACGGTGCCGGTCTGAGCTGCGCGCCTGCACGGTGGCCGAGAAAGGCTGGCTGCAACCTCCGGCTAGATTTCTAGAAATGTAGGGACCCAGGGTGGCAGCGTTTCTGCACTCAGATTCAATGCTTGGTTTAAAAAAAAACAACGGAACACAAATCTCGGAAGGTGTTTAGGCTTCTCCAGGATGTTTGCGCACAGGGCGATGTTCCGTTTTATCCGGCGGCAACGGTGTGCTAAATATCCCGGTGGCATTGAAATGTACCCTGCGTGCCCTCCTTCTTTTTCCGTGTTTTTCTCAGAGAATTTTTCAGCGTCCAGATTGAATAGGTCGTTCCTTTGTAGTCTTGCTTTGTCCTTTTGGAAGAACTTTTTTTTTTTTTTTTCTTTTAGAAAGCCACTGGGTTCCACTTGCTGGAGGTGTTTTGGGCTCATCACAGAGAAGGACACTTTTCCAAGTAACTCTTCCATCTCGGTGTCCGTTTACATTGCAACCAATGAAAATCCACACGGATGGCAGGAGCTCATTCAAGGCTCACGTTCAATCTGCAGTCCTGGGTACTGTCTCTCATTTCACAGATGAGAAAAACAGGGGAGCTAGAAGCACAGCTCCTAAGTGCCTAGACTGAGAGTGGGTCAGAGAGGGCTGAGTGGCAACAGAGCCAGGCTCCCGCCCTCAGCTCCACTTGCCGGGAGCGTCTTGTTCCACAGCACAGGGTTAGGGTGCTGACGCCACCTCCTCCCACCCATGCCAGACAGCAGTAAAATATGCATGGGGAAGAGACAGGAAGCATGCAAGATAAAAGAATCTTTAGAAACCTGGTCCCCGATGGACAGGTCCCTATCCATCATGCAACCAGGTGAACAATTCCATTGGTCCAGGGTTTCCTGATATCAAAACGGCCTCATCTCTGTGGGCTACAACAGGAAAGCATCCTTTTTCTATAAACACCGTTAAGAAACTGGCTTAGCTTCCTCTTTTGGATACACAACAACTGCTATTTAAAAATACCACATTAAAATGTTTATGTAATTTATTTTCCTTAAATAGTAACTTGCTACAGTCCTGTCACAAATTAAAAAAAAAAAAAAATTGAACACAGTATTCACAGAGGCAGAATTCTTTAGGACAATCAAAATCATGGGGTACTTAGAATAAATTAACATCAAATTGGGTTTATATTCAGATAGTCTGATCCTCTCCTCTGAAATGAAACGGAGACCGCTGTAACTGAGGGTGAATGCACACGTTTGTTCTTCGGTACAGAGACTCATTCTTTATATAAACTCAACGGTAATTTGAATTGAGTCAGGAATCCTGAGCAACCTCCACGGGGCGCACGTGCAGGCACACACGCCAACAGGGGCTCCTGGCAAGCAGGGTTTCCCGTGGTCACTTACTAGCAGGTCTTTTCTTAGAAGGGCCAAAGAATATTTCGATGCTATGATCCTGTCCCCCTCGGGGGAACATGTCTCTTCAAGTGTAAGAGCTCGGAGTAGCAGCAGTCCATGTACGAGATTCAGTAGTCAGGGGTCCCGGTCCTGGTGTCCGTGAATCCAGGATGAGGCAAGCAGAGGTGACACACACCTGCTTCTAACGCTAAGATGCGGGATCACGCCGAGCGTGGAGTTCTCAGTCTCGGTTGGAAATTCTCCTGCACGTAGGTTACTAATCTGGTTCAGGCACTGGATATGAACCTGAAGGGGGATGATGGAGGGGCAGGGGAGGGGTGCTTTGCAGATCGCAGATCGCAAGGGGCATGGAGCTGAGACAAAGGCAGGGCGCTGCTTGTCCTTCAGCCTGAATGGCCACCACCCGGTGTGTGGGACGTTCACCAGGGCTTCCTTGGCACCGGGGTGGGACTGTGCATTGCTCTAGCCCTGCCTGGATGCACAGGAGCTCAGCCCTCGAGTCCTACCCAGATCAACACACAGAACACCATGCAGCCTTGAAGAACCATGCTGTCCAGCTTCTGGGGAGGTCAGGAGCACGGCTGCCAGCCCCTCTTGTATGCACAAGGGTGGCCAACAGTGGGGTGGTGATGTCTGGGGAGGAAGGTCCAAACTGGGATCCCTTGTTATTTCTCTCTGGGCCTAAAGGAAGCCACAGTTGCATGCATATCTACACCAGTTCCTGTGTACAGGATCCCTTTCCTATAAAATTTAAAGTGCCTGGGTTCAAATGTGCTCATTCCTTCCCCACAGCTGGCGGTTCCTCTCCCCGCCTCTGGAGGAAGGTGTGTCCTGCTCTCCTAGGGAAGATGCCCTCGGGAACGAGGGATGAACGATTCACAGTCGTCCTAACTGGGATCCAGCATCTGGACTAAGCCTTCTTCATATACGCGAAGAATCGCTTCACACACGAACTTGTACTGGCTCTGGAAAAGGAGAGAAGGGACGCTGTCAGGTCAGGAGCACCAGGAACCCCGTGTCACGCTGTGCAGGCTGACTCTCTGTGCTGTTCTTCACAGCTCCCTCGGCACCAACTCGGCAAAAGAGACACACCAGGGAGGTGTGCCACCTGATGAGGACAGCTGCCCCCAGAGGGGGAAGGGCAGAGGGTCCTCTGTGTGACAGAGGAGGCAGCAGTAGTCTGGGAAAGAACTAAGGTCCCTGCAGGGTGGCCACTCTGCAAAAGTACAACCCTCGATGAGGAGGGCCGTTCTGAGAAGTGTAGTCGGGGTCCCAGAGTCCTGTCCTAGAATCCCTGGGTGTGTGGAGGAGGGAGGTGCTCAGGTGAGCCAGGATCTGGTTGTGGGGCTCCCCGTGTGGGGCAAAGAGTCTGGATTTGTCTTGAGAAGGAAAGCTACTGAGGATGTTTTGCAGGATATGGTTATTACAGGTGCCCCTCGGTGTTCATGGGAGATGGGATACAGGAACCCCTGGTGTATTTGCATGAAATCTGCACACATCTTCCCATATACTTTGAATCATCTCTAGGTTCTTATAATGCTTAATGTAAAGCTACGTGAATAGCTGCTATACTGGACTGTTGAGGAGAAAACGACAAGGAAAAAGGTCTGTGTGTGTCTGGCTGCAGGAGCAACTTTTCCTAATATTTCTGATCTGCAATCAGCTGAGTCCTTGGCTGCAGAGCCCATGGAAACCAAGGGCCGACTGCGCTAGCAAAGACCTCGGGCGCATTTTAAAGAAGCAGAGAAGGAAAAAAACCAGAGCACTGAGATGGAGCATATCCAAGAAGGAAAGTCCCAAGAGGAAGGACTCTTTCTTCTCGACAGGCAATGAGGTCTTCTCCATCACAAAACAGGACAGAGAGTGGCCTTAAATACATGTCCACTTCTTTTCTCTTAGTCACATTTCCTGGGTACAAACTAATAAACCACAAGGGCTCACAATTGCGAGGGGACTCTCATAGCCGTCCAAGCTCCTGCCTTTGCCGACCCCCTCCTTCTCACTGCCTGGGGTTGTGCCTGAGGGGCCCTCCTCTAGGACTTTCCAAAGTCTGCTTTAGAAAGTCTGTTGATGACAGGGCACTGGAGAAACCAGCCAGAGGCTGTGGGTATGGAGGGCAGTACACCTGGGAGGACAGATGGCTGTGGGCTTTGGGACTGTGAACACCCCCACTCCCCAAGCTGTGGGTAAGGGCTCAGTTCCCTTGACCCTCCATCTCATGACCCATAAGGCCCTTCACCCAGGCCTGGCCCAGGGCAGCTGCTCAGGAAGTGCCGGCCACCATTAGGCTTTTTATTGCTGGTCTGTACTCACGGACGTCTGCACCATCATGGCGCGCTGCTCTCGCATTTTCCGGACAATATCCAGGGGGTAAACAGGCAAGTTTCTCTCAATTAAGCACATGGCTGTTTCCATAGTGACCAACACGCCAGTCCGACCTATTCCAGCACTGGGGAGGGAGAGGAGCAGAGACTTAAGATTTGCCCGAGGAACATTTCTGCACAGCCCAGCTACACCCTGATGCAGTGCCTGCGTTTACTCAGAAGGAGCCTGTTCGCTTGGCCACCAGGAACGCAAAGACACACTTAGGCGGGCTTCATGGCAGGGGCAAAGGCCATCTGAGGCTGGGCTCAGCTACTGGGGAGAAGCCCACTGCTGAGTGCAAAGTCCAATCCCTCTGCTATGAAGGGCCCAGGGAGACACACTCAGGACAGACAGAGACGAGGGTAGGACTCTCCTCTTGGGCTCTGGGCTCCACGTACATGCTTATGATCTTTTTTTCCTGAAAATTCCAAATACTTTGAAACGGTGAAGAAAGAGAGCTTGGTGAGAACGCACAACGTGGTGGGCTTAGGGCGGTTTGGTGCCTGCCAATCTTCTCCAGGCCTTTCCCCAGGGGTATAATAAGGCAAAACAGCGGCAGTACCTGCAGTGAACTAAGATGGGCTCCCCGTCCACCCGCAGGGACCTCACGTAGGTCACAAACTCCAGAAAGTCCGAGGAGTCATCGGGCACACCGTGGTCGGGCCATGCGACATACTGGAGATGTGTCACCGTGTGCTCTTCCCCAGTCTGTGGAACATGCGGTGGCCTCGGTGAATCAGTCCTGGTGGTGGGCCCCGTCCCCAACACCGTCCAGGGGCCCCTGGGCCCAGTGTTCCGACTCCTACTGTGCACAGCTCTGCTGTGGCCCCTGCCACGTTCCACATCCACCCACTCTCCCAAGACACCCATCCTCTTCTCAGCTGAGCCCCCTCCTGGAGGGTGGCCTTCCAACTCTTTAGCCTACAGTGATTTCTTCCATTAGCTCCAGCTGTGCTTGCAACAGGCCCACACAGCTGGAGACACACACACACACACTTTATAGCCCTGGGGATCAAACCCAGGGCTCTGAGCATGCTAAACCCACCACTCTACCACTGAATGACACCCTCAGCCCCTTTATATGTATTTCTTTTACGGTGGCACAATGCATACGAAGTTTAGCATTTAACCCTTTTTAAATGTAAGGTCCAGGGGCAACAAGTTACACTTATTCACAATGTTGTGATACCATCACCACTATTTACATAAACTCTATACCCATTACACTATAACTCCCGATTGTTCTCTTTCCTTAAACTCCTGGCAACTATCATTTCCTTTCTATAAATCTGACTGTTCTAGCTATGTCACATAAATGGAATTTTCAGTTTCTGACCTTCTGTGACTGGTTTATTTCACTTAGCATAACATCCTTAAGGTTCATCTGAGTTGTATTATGTGTTGAAATCCCCCTCCTCTTAAAGGCTGAGTACTATTCCACTGTGCAGATAGACCCATTTTGTGTACTCATTCATTACTTGATGGACACAGGGCTGCTTCCCCTGCTCAGCTGTTGTAAAAGGTGCCACAGTGCACCCTGGTACTGGCTCTAGGACTGGGAGTCTTGCACTGACTGATAGCTCCATCAGGTGAAAACAGGGCAGACCTGAAGGTGTGGCCCCAGCAGGGACCACAGTGGCTGCTGGTTTGCCCCCTGCCCCTCCACCTGCCTGCAGACCGCTGCTTACCTCTGTGTTTGTGACCAGCATTTCTCGGGACACATAGGCGATGGTGCAGTCCTCTGTCTGACACTGGATATGAAAGATGCCATGGTCCATGACGTCAGGGGGATCGGGCCAGTACTGGTGACATTTGGTCTGTAAGAAACCGAGTGCAGGTTAGCTTCCTCTGTGGGGTGTGTGCGGGAACAGCCCACGGGAGACAGGCTGGCTGGGCAGGCGTCCCAGGGAGAGCTGGTGGGAGAAGAGGAGTCAGGCAAGGCCCATCTGCTGTGTGTGTTCTGGGATGGGGACACAGAGGAAGCTCCTTCCTCCTTTAGCAAGTGGGTGGGGGTCGGCAGGCCAGAGGCCAATCAGCCCAGGGACAGAGCCTGTAGGAAGAGGACAAGAGACTTCTCTTCTCCAAGGTTCATTTGTTGAAAATGATCAGACACGGACCTGGGCTTATGAGCAACCTCCACCCAACCGCCCACCCCTCTCAGGCCTACCAGGTCTTGCAGGCCCCTTCCCAGCTCCAAGAGCCCCTGTAACCTCAGCCCTCCACCCTTGACCTTGCCTGTTAGAGGGGAGCCCCAGGCACAGTGGTCAGAGCACAGAGAGAGCTCCTATGGTTTCACAAACCCTCTCATTTTCACATTTTCCACTTGAGGGCTGGAGACAGCATCAGCCTGAGGACCTGGAGGACGGTGACAGCTGGAGAGGGTGTGCAGGGAGCTCAAGGTGGGGTTGTCCCATGGCAGTCCCTGTTACTGCTGCTATGGGTCTGCATCAACTGAGTAAAGGGGGCTCAGAGATGCTCTAGAAATCCAGATTAAGGAATCTCCAAGCTGAAATGAAGACCCCTTTTCACGTGGGGAGCATCTCCTGGTCCTCAAATACTTCCGAGATAATTCTCTGTGGCACTGAGACTCCAGAGCAGACTTGGATCCTGGCTCAGGGCAGTGACTTGCCAAGGTCACAGAGTGTCGTGACCCTGTTCAGCACAATCCCCAGGACACCACAGTGTCTCTCAAAACACCCATGGCTTCCCCACAGACTGACCGATGCCCTAACCCCCCCCACAAACCCCGTGTCTTCCATATGCCATTGATGCCGCCGCCTCTGGCTTCTAGGTCAGACGCTGGGCTAAGCTGCCCCTCCCAGTCCGGTTCCTGTCAGTCAAATTCTCACTCATTAAAAAAATATTTGCCTCCAAGCCTAGAGTCGCACTGACTTAAGTAAAAACTACATTTGTTTAGAGCAGAAAAGTGGTATGCTAATCCTGACGCAAGCAATTTGTCAGGAAACAGCTTTCCTGACCTTAGTTTCAAATATCACTGTGAATATCTGAAATTAAAATACACTGCTGTAAAGTTGCAGTTGAGAATTTACTTGGAAACAGTACATGTGGGTGTCTTGGTTAGGAACCGCTTTCCAACTTTCCTTAACCACAAAGGGCTGCTTGTGGGTAGAGAAGGGATTTAAGTCGCCCCCAAGGGCTCTGCATCTGCCTGCGTCCTCACCTGCACAGGAGGTGAGGCCCTGTGTTATAGTTCCCAAGGGTCCTGCCCGCAGGAAAATTGGGGGCAGATGCTCTTTGAAATAATCAACTTGTTCAAGGCAGAGCTACAAACACCTGAATTCCCAGAGGGTTTTTACAGTGCACCTGGCCAGGACTGGGTCTCTCTTTACTGCTGATCAAATTTAGATTTTGAGGTCCGTTTGGATGTATAATAAGCACTGGGGTGCAGTGGAAGATCAAGACGTTTGTGGAGATCCAGGGTTTCAATCCTGGTTAATACGCTATACTAAGCAACTGTGTCGTCCTGAGCAGGTTACTTAACTTCTTTGAGCCTTTCTATATGACTGTTGCTGGAGGGGATGCAGGGGATGCCCCAGGTTCCTATGACGATGACCTGATATAAGCTCATTCATTCTCTGAGCCTCAGTTTACTCAGAGGTATTCACAGTTCTTTCTTTGGGGTTATTCTGAGGCCAAGATAAAATAATACTGTTAATAACATTAATAATCAATACTATCGTCTGAATGGTATGGGAGGGGTCTTTGCATGGATGTTATTTTATCTTGGCCTAGTGACAGCCGGAGGAAGGTACTATGAAGGCCTCTGTTTGCATGAGTAAACTGAAGCTCAGAGAGTCAATCAGTCAGGTCATCCACACAGGCACTGGGGCGAGGGAGTTTCACTCCAGGGCTATGAACTTGCTGTGGGATTAAACAGGTAACCCACACAAAGGGCTTGGAGGGACAATGGTCAGTGCAGCTGGTCGGCGGGCAATGGGGCTGCTGGAGACGAAGCCCCAGCTGGCTGCTGCCAGGATTCAGAGGCTCTTTCCTCTGGATTCAGAGGCTGAGCAGGGATCGCTTCTAGCCCCGAGTGAGGCTTTGAGAAGCGGGTTCAGGAAGGGAAAACTGGCCACTGAAATGATTTTGGAAAAGAAGTGCCTGTCTGGACCAGAGGGGACATGCTGAAGACTGTGTTCCTGGAGCGGGTGGAGCGTTATCTTAGGAAGATGGACGTGGGTTTGAGGGGAGAGGCATGGACCCAACTTTTATGATGAAGTTTGCTTTCTTGCTTAGTCAGTCAACACACATCCATGCAGACGTGGTGATGAATGAGATGTGCTTGTCATTATCCTCAAGGTGCTCTCAAATCTGGCCATCAGAAGGTGTGAAGGAGAAAAGGCATAGAAAGAGGTAGGTCATGTGGGAGGTGATGTGGATGTCCTGGACAGGGGACAGGAGCTCAGTGCTGAAGGCCGAGGGTGTTCCCCAGTTGGGTGGGGCAGGCAGGGATCATCAGGGCAGAGGGCATGGGCTGCTCAAGGTAAAGAGGCCCCTGGTGTTGCCAGGGAACAGAAGACACCTGGATACGACCTCCCAGGAGGGACAAGCTGGTCTGGGGTGGGTGCTGGGGCGGCGGTGCTCTGAGCATCTGAGGGGCACCACGGGAAAACACAGGACCAGTGTGAACCAAGGCAAGGTCTGGCTGAAAGCTTGTCCCTGCCTGAGCTAGACTGCGGAAGACTTGGGACCAGCAGGAAGTCCCTGCTATTCCTGGGAGGGAGATGCAAAGGCTGACAGCAGGCAGGGGCCCTGGGGACACAGGACAGAGACTGGGGGTCATAAAGGTGGTCAGTGGTGGCAGCCCATGGTGAGTAGGTGTGGGAAGGGATGCACCAGATTCCTGCTTGGGTGACCAGTGCCAAGTGCCTGGGATGGGGGCCAGAGGGACGGGCCATGCGTGTGCCTGCACGTGTGCATTTGTAGGGTGGTGACTCTGGCACCATCTGTGACGACACTCAGGTAGGCATGTCTTGTCAGTGAGCAGAGGGGCTTGGGGTTCAGGGGGTGGCAGGAGTCAGTGCCCAGCTCCATTTGCTGAACCACCCGGCAGGCAGGACAAAACCTGACCGAGAGGTTCCCAGGCAGAATCCTCCTGTCCCTGTGCACATGTCACCAGGCACAGTGTGGTTAACGGATAACGAGCGCGTGGGAGCCCACAGAACTCTGTGCTGCTCCAAACCTCTTCCTGACACGTCACAGGATCCTCACGATAATCCCAGTCTCTACTGTTACTCGGATCAGCAGAACAACTTGCCTCTGGTGCAGGGAGATGAAGGCAATGAGATCCAGAGTCACTAGCCACGCAGAACACCCACGACAGGCTTCATGCAACTCATTCTGAACCCTCCAAACAACCCAGAAGACAGGCATTGCCACTCCTTTCTAGTGACAAGGAAACCGAGGCTTTGAGTCCTGTCCACGTGTACCCCATTAAATGATGGTTCCAGAAGCCAAATGCCTCCACTGAGCCCAAAGCCTGTGCCTTAAGTGACTGGCAAATGAGAAGAAAACTTATCCATATTATTCACACGTAGATGGAAAAACGGATCTCTCCCCCAAAGAAATGCCTTATGGAAGGAAAATGAGGAAAAGTGACTTCCAGATGAAAAGCAATACCTCAAGGGGGAAACCCGAGCCTCAAGGGACAGCACAACGAAAACCACTCTGCACGAAACGGAAGAAAGGAGAAATGAAAGCGAGCCACAGGTGAGAGTCGGCCTGACTCCCAGGAGTTGGAGGTCGTGGCTCTGCACCCCCAGAACACAGAGGCAGCACGGGGGGCGTGGGGCCGCCAGCCAGCGCACACCTGCCCGAGTCCTACTCTACTGAATGCACCGCAGGGGAGAAAAGAAGTAGGAGCTGATGGAAATCTCACCTTTTGGAAAAAAAGGGGCAAAGCTGCTCACCTGGAAGGACCAACTCCTGATGCAGAAGAACTGGGGGGTGTGACGAGGAGTCAGGGACAGTAGGACAAAGGGCTCGGGTCACCCAAGGGTTTTAACAGGAGAGGGGAAACACACCCTGGAGTTTGGAAGAACAGGTTTCTAACAACTGATCACCAAGAGAGTAAGTTCCCAGGCCAGAGGTGCTGAGGGAATGCCAGGCCTCACGGGAGACCGGGAAAGAGCCGGGAGCGGAATGGGTTCAGATGGCAGAAAGGGCTCAGAAACAAAGAAACGTGCAGGTCACAGAGACCTCAGATGAGCTCGGGTTCAGAGTGGCCACCCACAACAGAGAGCAGAGGAGGGCAGGAACAAGGAGCAGGAGGGGCAGGACCTGGCAGAGTGGACAGAGGAGGGTGAGGCTTTTCGGAGGGCACAAAGGGACTGGCAGAGAAGGGAAGGAAGGGGCTGCCATCCAGGGCAGATCACCTGTCACTGCCCGTTCCGCCTTTTCTCCAAGGAGAAGAATGGCTATCCAACTGGGAAGGGCACGGTGGACTTTCAAGGGGAAAGAGAATCCTGACTGGCAAGAGGCCGGGGACAGCACCAAGCTGCCCAACTGGATTCTGATGCAGACTCTACGGAGCTGCATTATGAACTAAAGACCTCACGAGACAGCAGAGGGGCACCAGGCCCTGAGAAAATTGGGAGGATCAGGCACCCAGCAGACAGGACAGGGGACCAAAGGCAGGCAGATACAGCACAAAATGACAAGGCAAAAGACTTGATGTCCACTAGCTGTGAAATATCAGAATGGCCCAGATTAGAGCCTGCCAAGCGCAGGACGCCTCCCACCTTATGAGACTGGGTGTGCGTCAGTCACACACAGCTACATGCGGAGATGTGCTTTCTCACACGGTATTTCTGATTCTGCCATAAAGACAGATACTCAATCCTTGTTGAAAACCACTTTAACATCACCTAATACTTTAATTCTATTTTTATAATAACCGAGAGAGCGCCTCAGATTCAGAGCTGAGGAAGGCAAGATTATTTAGAATTGGTGGTCTTCATATTTTTACACATACCTTTTATTTATGGCAAGTGATATAGACCAGCAGACTTCCCTTTAAGAAATATCTTTCAAAGGAAATTTATCAAAGTAGAAGAAAGTCAATTCGAAGAAAATGATAAATAATATCACAATATGGTCCTCATAATAGTCATTAATGTGGCACCAAAATTACTACTACTGCCAGCTAAGATTTATATAATATTTTCTGTGTGCCAAGCACTCTTACAAGAAGCTACTCATGTTAGCTTTCAATTCCTCCACAATCCTACAAGATTGTGGTTACTCCCATTTTACACAGTTATAAGCCACACAGGAAGTGCAGAGCGAGAATTTAAATTCAAAAAGTATGGTTTTAGGGCTTCCTTACCCACTACACGACAGAACCAGCAAGCTGTAGGCACTTTAGAGAAACCGAGGGGATGGTACTGTGAGCTGGTTGGAGTTACCTGTTTTCAAAAAGGGTCCAAGTAATTTCTTATTAAGAACAAAAACAGGAGAGGTGTTGAGCTTTTCCTTGGTGAGCCCTTATTTTTTCAGGGCCCCGGCTTGGGGTGCCCTTCTAACCCATGGCCAGACATCTGGCTTCGGACTTTGCCTTCTCACCCCCTCCGGGCGGTGGAGGTGATGGGCTGGGAGGGCCAGAGCCAGGCTGGATTGACCCTCGGACCTGGCTAAGCTTCCCAGGCCCTCCCGGTGGTCCAGGAATCGGGCCAGGGGTTGGGCTAGGTTCGGAGGTGTGGGGGATTCCCTCGTGCCCTCCGCCCTATGAGTGCTGTGGAAGGATGGCATACTGTGGACCTCAGGTTGGAATGGGCCTGATCCCCCAACGGTGGCCTGGAGACCTCTCAACCTGAGATCGAGGTGGGAGCTGGGATGGAAGGCAACTCTGAGGAGGCCTCCCCGAGCCTTGCATTGCTCACCCTGCTGTTGTGAAGGTGGAGAAGGTGGATCAAAACCATGAGGAGTCCCAAGATATCCAAGCTTTGCAGAAAGAACTCGAGGAATTTGCCAAGCTGCCGAAGCAGAAGAGGATCAACCTGGGATATACTCAGGCCGATGGGGCTCTCCCCTGGGGGTTCTCTTTGGGAAGGTGTTCAGCCAAACGACCATCTGCCGCTTTGAGGCTCTGCAGCTCAGTTTCAAGAACATGTGCAAGCTGCGGCCCCTGCTGCAGAAGTGGGTGGAGGAAGCAGACAACAATGAGAACCTTCAGGAGATATGCAAAGCGGAGACCCTCCTGCAAGCCCGGAAGAGAAACCGAACAAGTATGGAGAACCGATTGAGAGGCAACCTGGAGAACATGTTCCTGCAGTGCCCAAAACCCACACTGCAGCAGATCAGCCACATTGCTGAACAGCTAGGGCTTGAGAAGGACGTGGTCCGAGTGTGGTTCTGTAACCAGTGCTAGAAGGGCAAACGATCAAGCATTGATTATTCCCAACAAGAGGATTTTGAGGCTGCAGCTTCTCCTTTCTCAGGGGGACCTGTATCCTTTCCTCTGGCCCCAGGGCCCCTCAGGTTACGGAAGCCCTCACTTCACCACACTCTACTACCCGGTTCCTTTTCCTGAGGGGGGAAGCCTTTCCCTCTGTCTCTGTCACCACTCTGGGCTCTCCCATGCATTCAAACTGAGGTACCTGCCTTTCCCAGGTACTTTCCCCTTCCAGAGGAGCGAGAGAGAGAACCTGGAGTCCGGACCAGGGCTTTTGGGATTAAGTTCTTCATTCACTAAGGAATTGGAAGCTCAAAGGGTGGGGTGAGGAGTTGGGGAACTGGTTGGAGGGAAGGTGAAGTTCAATCATGCTCTTGATTTTAATCCCCACATCACTCATACTTTGTTCTTAAATAAAGAAGCCTGGGACACAGCAGATAGATAAAAACAACAACAACAAAAAGAACAAAAACACAACCAGTGTGACTCGACGTCATGTACACCCAGAAGAATGAGAAGTTATACCCCATTTATGTATGATGTGTCAACGTGCATTCTACTGCCATGTATAACTAATTAGAATAAATCTTAAAAAATTACAACTGAAACAAAAATAGATAAAAATGAAATTTCCAGACAAAAAGACGAAGTGACGCCACAGAGCTGGCACATAAATCAGTCAAGCCTCAGAGAGTCTCTCATGGTTACTGGGTAGAGGAGAAGCAAAAATGGGAGGGAACAAGAGCAGGGCTGTCAGGATTAACAACTGCTCCCCAAAGTGCGTTCTCAGTGCCTCTGAAGAACAGTATTCTAGAGGAAGTTTCCACTGTTTCTTGACTGTACGATTTTTCATCATTGACTTAGGGATGAGAGATTCTTACTAACTCTGTGATCAACAAGAGCTAAGAATCATAACTGATGTAAAGAAATAAGGATGCCCCCAAAAACCAGATCTGAGGGCTAAATACCCGACATTTGCTGGACACTTGAAACCTGCAGTTCTCTAAGCTAATAATATTGCATTGTCTTAGTTGTCACTAACCCTCCAAGGTGGGCATGATTATTATCTCCATCGTACATTTAGCAGAAGCCGAGGGTCTGAGAGGTTAAGTAACTTGCTCAAAAGGAACCTTGTTTTCATCCCAGTCTGGCTCTAGTGTGCTGGATAAAGGTTCCAAGAGCTAAGGGCCTAAGCGCTAAAGAGGAAAAAGAGGCTCAATGGCAATCGCAAGATAAAGTCCACATAATCTCTGCTGACCGTGGTTTAATGGAAGCCCAGGGTTATTTTCAGATATTGAAAAAGTTGATACAGAAAAGAAGAGGAACTTATTTTGTGTCTTCCATGTAGCAGAACCAAATGGGATGAAGGTTAAAAGAGATATATCTTCATTGTGAGGGGGAATTTTTAAAAAGCAGAGCTGAACATCAACAGGATGGATCCTGGAAGTGTGCTAGTCGAGGTAGGGAGCAGTTTATCTAGGATCATATATGTAAAAGCCCTCTGCAATCCATGGGGCTCCGTGGAATTAGTAGAAATTCTTATTTTGTTTCAGGCGAGAAAGTAGACTTATCTCCTCAAGAATAGTAGCCTTATCAATTCCTAGGTATTCTCAATTTCAATGTGGATTATTTTGGCTTTCTGAACTACATTGGGGAGGGAATCAATGGGAGGAAGTGGCACAGAGATCACTCAAAGCAGGGGGTTCAAAAGTAATTTCTAGGGCTGGGGTTGTGGCTCAGCGGTAGAGAGCTCGCCTAGCATGTGCGAGGCCCTGGGTTTGATCCTCAGCACTACATACAAATAAAAAAGATATTATAAAAAAAAGTAATTTCTATTTGATTTTGGAATGTGTTTCTGAATATTTCATAAAGAAGACATCCAGATGTATCTACAAGTTAAGGAAGCATGATAGGAGTATCACTTATATACTGACTTCTGTTACAGGATCATGGAACTGTTTCTATGGAAAATGGTACAATAATATAATTTCTCCTATTCACAGCCACCATTTACCTGGTACACATTGCCCTTTCAAAATGAGCACTTGTCCCAGCCAACACAGGGGCTCTGAGAATATAGGGTAAGGCAAGAGGAACTGTCTTCTGGTTTGACATATTGAATCCATGCTGGGAGTGGGCAGGAGTGGGGCTGAGCTTCCCATTCTTGGGGGTGCCATTTGGTGGAACCAGAGAGATCTATGGGGCATGAAGGGGCTAGACCAGGAGGCCACTTCCAGCCCAAGATTTATGCTCCATACAACATGATGCGACACTGCACACATCTGAATTGGAAGCTGATCTACTTACCCGCCCTCGCTCTGTGAGAGTTGTCAACATGACAATTAGAGATAACTTCTGATCCCAGACGACTTGCCAAAATTGTGCACAGGTATGTGGCAGGGGTCCCTGAGTGGCAATGTACTTGTTCACAAGGTTAGCAGCAGGAATTTCCATCTAGCAAGAGATTGGTAAGGGATTACAATCTGTGACTTCCACAAGGTGGACAGGGTTCTGCATTTTAAACTCTTCTACTTGCGGATGGATATCACATCAAACCATTATATCAATCCACAGTGAATAAGAAAAATCAAAGAAAGTTATTGCTAAAAATCCTTGAAAAAGATTTGATGATAACGCCACCATTAATATTTTTAAGATTAAAGTGGATGACACTCTGTTGGCAAAACCCAGAAATGTCCCTTCAACATGGAGTTTAAGTGACTTTCATTGCTTTCTACTAAATATAACTACTACCCATTATCTTCATTTTCAGCAGGACACATGGATCCTCACCAAGTTTTCCCATGAAGGAATTTCTATCAGAATTATTTCATTTAATTGTTTTTCAAATAGCTTTAATTAGGCTACCCTTTATGTGCCATGAAATTAAGAGCAGGAAATATTTATTTATACAGGTTCATACCGCCAACTCGTCACACTTTGCTTTCTGCATGACTTCCAACGATAATGTTATTAAGTCGGTCCATCTTTTTTTTTTTTTTAATTATTTTTTTAGTTGTAGATGGACACAATACCTTTATTTTATTTACTTATTTTTACGTGTTGCTGAGGATCGAACCCAGGGCTTCACACGTGCTAGGTGAACGCTCTACCACCGAGCCCCAGCCCCAGCCCAAGTTGGTCCATCTTGACCAACATTTTCCCATGCTGCTCCTCTTTCATTTTGCCCTCTGCGCTGAGTCTTCTCTATGCAATAACACTCAGAGCCCTCTGTGCTTTGGACTGGCAACTTCATTCATTCACTCTTAGGTTGGGAAGGTAAATGAAGGATCCCAATTCATGATTGGGTTAGTGCTTGGGCTCATGGCTTCCTTGACACTTGATAAAACAAAGAGACTGGATTCTGTGGGGTGGCCACCCATTTCTGATTCTCAGCTCTTAAGACATCAAGAATGTTGAAGTGAGGGCTTATGAATCCCATAGATGCTTTGGAATAAATAGGATCAATGATCAGACCAAATTTTATTAGGACAGTTCTATTTTTTTAAAATATTTATGTTTTAGTTGTAGGTGGACACAATATGTTTATTTCATTTTTTTTTTTAAATGTGGTTCTGAGGATCGAACCCAGTTCCTCACGTGTACTAGGCAAGCACTCTACCTCTGAGCCACAACCCCAGCTCCAGGACAGTTCTTGATCACTTCTATAACCTGAGACTTAGTCTGAAAAGTCATGTTTGTTTAGGTCAGGGTTTGGCAGATGATGGCTTGAGGGTCAAATCTGCTGGCCATAAGCTAAGAGTAGTTTTCAACATTTTTAGATGGTAGCATCTTAAATGCAAAGACCAAATTCTGACTCTGTATAGAAAAAGTGTGCTGACAATGGATTTAGATGGAGAAACTGAAGTTCAGAGAGACCAAGTAAATTGCCCAAAATGCACTTTCGGAGTAAAAATGAATGCTTTCCTCAAAACATATGTACCTTTTCCTTTTCCTCTTTTGGGTCTTAGGTACAGAAGAGGTATTGTTTTTCTTATATTTAGGCAGGATGACACTAATAATGTGGGGAAAACCACATCAAGTAACAAACATACCATCAGCAGAACCAAATACCTAAGCAAGCAGCAAATACAGAGGTGTGCGGACAATGGAATTAGAAACACTGAAGGCCTCCTGCCCTTATCTCATTTTGCGGCTTTTCAAATTATTCAGTCTCTCTGAACCTTAGTTTTCTCCTCTGTAAAACTGAGACCCCTCTGCCTTCCCTCACATGGCTGCTGAGCTGAAATGAGGCCGTGAACAGGAGAGCACTGTCAACTGCCAAGCACCCCGCAGGCCACCCCCATCCTTGTTAGAGTGATGAACGCGCTGTATCTTACCACCCGGCTTCCTAACTTACATTCACATAACTTGCATTAATATAATCTTCATTTCCTTGCAATAATACCCGGGTGGTGTCATCTGTGGGAGAGAAAAATTTACCGATTATTCTGAGTGTTATTTTTATCATCCCAAGTAAATAAGAGTTCAGTTCCCAGCCCCATCTGCAGCTCTTGCCTCATTAGCATAAACACTATTCCCCAACTGTTCAGAGTCTGAAATGGCTGCAATAAAGACGGTGGTGTTTACAGACACACTGAAAATCGCTCCAGAATACCAGACAATCTGTTTTAAAAAGGGAAACATTATCTCAGTGTAGGGGGGGAAGGAGGCATTCATGCCGGATACTCACAAGGCAGCACATCTTTATATCGGTTTTTGTCCAAATTTTGAGGCAGCTTTGCAAATGTGATGGCCAAACCTGGCTTCTTTCGGTAGAGTTGCTAAATGACAAAGAGAGGCCAAAAAAGAAAAAAAAAAAAAAAAGAAAAAGAAAAAAAAAATCACTGTGAAAAAACAGCTAAGGAAAGTAGGATGTGAAAATATACTTTAACCATACATGGCTCCAAAATCTTAACATTTTAAAGTGATTATATGTTGTTAACATATTAAGGGAAAAAATCTTCCCAAAAAGAAATTCTACAGTTCTAGGAGAAACTGACTAAATCCTTTACTAATGTTTTATATTTGAGGATCTTTGGTGGGGGGAAGTCACAGGTGGGGATCTGAGTCACAGATAATGGGTCCTGATAACTTTTTTTTTTTCCCCTTGGCAATTTGACACATGCTAAAAGCAAATAGTGGTGGTGGTGGGATGTATGTGTGTGGGGGAATTTTGACTCAAAATTAATAAAGATCACCTGAACTAGTTTTGAGCCCCATTTCCCTCCAACTCAATGAACCACATCTTTTGCTTAAGAGCCAGAGCGTGTCATTCATCATTTTAGAAGTTTATTTCCAAAGTAAAAACATTTGTCTGACATACAGTAACTCTGTTTAAAGCGCTATTTCCTTATACATGCAATCACTACCAAAAATTTAAAATAAATTGTGTATCTACAAGCACATATCAAATAGGTTCATATAGTGCATGACATGATTTCCCCACAGCCCTCTGGGAGTTACTACAATTATTCTTATTTTGCAAGTGACAGTCAGAGGATAGAAGCTTTGCCCAAGATAACAAATAAGAGGATGAACACATCTGTTGCCAATACTTATGTTTTCTTTTCTATACAGCAGTTTCCCCCACTTGAACAACTAAAGTTAAGCCCTTTGTTCTATGGAAACAATTTTTTCAATGTTGGAAGTGTTAATTTTTCTGTTTTTTTTTTTTTTTAAATTAAATTTGGGATATTCAGGCTGGTTTAAAGAAAAAAAATCTTATCAGTAATTTCACAACTCTGAGATGACCTTTTCATTTATCTTCTCCAGATTATTGTTTTCTCCTCATATATGTACATGAACATATGAACATACCTAAGTATGCAATGTAAACATACACAATACATATATATATATATATACACACTACATTTTTAAAGACAAAAAATATCGATATTTTTTCATACTATATTCAATGGAAACCAAGCATCTTAAAGGAAGGCAGTAGGTATTTCTCAAAAAAGTTGCAAAGTCAAAGATTTACCTGATGTTCTATGAATCTCCAACAAGACAGGTCTTCCCAGAGTTTAATTTTGATCAGCTAAGTATTTCTCAGGCTAATTTAGACATGAAGGACCCAGCATCCTACTGGATGGGAGGGGGGAGTTCTGGAAACACTGCCCTAATTTTAAAGCCTGTCCCCTTATTTACTAGATAGTATCCATTTCTCCATGTCATTAGATATTCTCTATAAAGATGAAACTTAATAATCTAGTTTACTATGTTTATTTTTGCAAGCTGTATTGTTTAGCAAACTGGCTTCTCTCTTACTCTGCTCTTATTAAACTACACAGAATTTATTAGAAGAGAATTAACATGGAGACCTGGGGTCATAAGAATAGCTATATTTTATATATTTACTGACTATTTTGAATTTCTGAATTCTACAAGAGCTTGGCTACTGATCTGATCACCTGTATGGTTTCAGTTCATAACAATCAAGTAGCTGCTGAACTACTCCTAAAACATCTGCAGGATTTAAAGGACTCTGTGAGTTCATTCTAGAAATAAAGTCATGATTTATTGGAGGTTTTAGTTTGACTCTGGCAGAAGGAGGACATCTGAGTGGGTCAAATTTATCTAAGTGGCATTTTGGTTCTAACTGATTAAATGTATGAAGGGAAATCCAATTATGTGAATGCAACCAGTAAATCTAACCTGGAGGTAAAAAGATATATACCTTCTATGTAACAAAGATATACATGCAGTCACCTTGAGAAAGTCTGGCAGACAAACAGATCTAATAAAATGCTTTAATTATATGATTTAAATGTATCTCAGTAGTAGGACTATAGAACACTAAAAATTTTAAAGATGTACTACGGCAGAGAAACATTTTAAAATGTGTATGCTCTGGGATTTATCCAACAAGAATTCATAAAGATTCATGTCAGAGAAGTTTACCTGCAGCAGAATATTTATTCATGGAAAACCAGAAAACGGTAACAACCCGAACATTCCCCAAGAAGGGGAAGTTCTGACTTAAATTACAGCACAGTCAGACCTTAAAATTCTGTACAAAAAATAAAAAGCTAAAAGTCCAGATTTGGAAGAACATCCCTTCATCTACTTTTAAATGAAAATTGTGTATTAAAAAAAAAAAACAACATACACGATGGTGATTCTAAACAGCAGCACATACAGAGTGTATACGGGGTGTATAACACACAATCCTGTGTGTGTGCACTTGTGTATGTGTGTGTACCATATATGAGCACGAACACAGGAACAGGTATGGATGGATGCACACCAAATTGTTATCTATAACTTACAACAAAGAAAAAACTGAATGGGATGGGAGTTGGGAGACTTTTTTACTTGGGCTATTTCTGAATGATGATAATGATTATTTTTTAAATTCATGACTGGAGTGAGGGCGAAAAAAAGAGAACAAATCTATTTATAAAATACAAAAATTTCCGGGAAAGCTGGGTGAGCAAATCAAAAGCCAAGACTTCTTTGGATTTAGGAAGTCCAAAAAAGCCATCGTGTTTACATCTGCTCTGCAAAGGTTGGCGCTGAACAGGACTGACGCCATTCAGGGGAACAGGATTCAAGCGCATAGTCTCAGGCGTGTGAAAAGGTGGCTTTCAAGGTCCTTCTCTGCCCGTGGGCTGCTGGGTCAGCTGGGTGTATGAACTTGCTCTGAGACGGGGCTGATAAGAGTGGAGTGGGACGTGCTGGGAACACAGGCATGCCAGGGACGGAGCAGTGACTAAGGCGTTAGGACACTGGCCAGAATTTGAGACAAGACCCATAAAGTAACTATTCCCTGGAAAAAAACAGCATTTGTTTCCATTATTCCCAGGCTGCAGGTGTGTAAGGCAGACAAGATCTCCCAGTTGTAGATCCCCTAAATTCTGTCGTCTTAAAATGGGAGCAGCCAGGGGTTGGGAGGCAGGGTCATGGGGATAAGCACTTAAGAAATCACTTGGTTTTATGAATAATTTTTTTTTTTTTTTGGTACCAAGGATTGAATCCAGGGGTGCTTTACACACTGAGTCACATCACCAGTCTTTTTATATTTTTGAGACAAGACCTCACTAAATTGCTTAGGCCCTGGCTAAATTGCTGAGGCTGGCCTCAAACTAGCGATCCTTTTGCCTCAGACTCCTGAGTCGCTGGGATTACAGGTGTGCACCACCATGCCCTGCTGAAAATATGAATTTTTATGACCTAAAATGCATGTTCTCACCTATCAGAGTGAAGTTCTAAGAAGCTCTGAAACTAAGGGTAAATTATGAAAATCTCGGGCCGAGAGGGGTTGCTAAGAAACAGCAGTATTTAAACTGTAATATCAGCATCTCCAGCTCTGGCCTCTGAAGACAAACAGCTGAGCAGAGGACCTGGCGCTGTCTGGCGCTACACCGCCAGACACTGGCGGGGTGGACCGGAAGGCCTGCTTTGGAGTTTAGACATCTCTGCTTTGCGCGCGGTTTCCAACATCAGAGAGAGGCCTCAGGGGCTCCCATCCCTTAGCTCCTCTCACTGAGCCAAAGCCGTGAGATCGAGTCGCACCCTGGACAAGGGCTGCAGACACGACCAGCTCCAACAGGGACTGCGGCAGGGTGGGACCCGGCAAGCAAAGGACACCTCCACCAACCCGAGAACAAAGCGGGCTTCTCGCTGGATTCTGGAAGGCTGAGAACTGGAGAAGGGGGAGGCAGGAGAACAAAGGGAGGGGGCCGAGGGGACCTCGGGCAAGGGGAGCGCAAGCAGCAAGAACAGTCCCTTCCATGCCCCACAAGAGCCAGAGCCAGCTTCAGCCATGACTGGGACTCCCAGTGACTGTCCCCTGAATCAACTACACCATTATCTCTGTGGGAAGCCTGCTTGTTCTGTTCACCGCCATGAGCCCCGAGGTTAGCACTGTGCCTGGCACACAGGAGGTGCTGGGCAGCGGGAAGGGAGCATGGGGTCTGTGGCTTTAAAGGGGGTGCAAACCACGTGAACGAAGCTGACAAGAGATGGCAGTTGTGGCTTTCTTGGACGTGGTGCTGTGGAACAGAGCTCAGGGCACTCACCTTTCACAAAGGCCCCAGGAGGTGTCTTCCTGGTGCCACTGGATGGACGAGCTAACAACTCACTACTCCCAGGGAGCCTGTCCACACTGGGGACATCCCCTTTCTTCATATCGACTCAGCCAGAGGTCTCATGGTCTCGAGGGCACCTGCAGCCTCTACCTACTGTCCAGGTGTGCTGCGCTGACATGGTTGTAGTTATTTGGGGAATTTCATTATAGTTTGGGTATTAAATGTCCCCTGAAGGCTCCTATGCTAAAAGCTCCGTCATTTTCTAGCACCAAAACCACAAGTCAAACTAAACTATAAACCTTCCCTCCTTTTAGGTGGATTTTGTCATAGCAAAAATGGACACTTAACAGAGACCTTTGATAGTAGTGGTCTTTCAACGTCCAGTCCCAGATGTACGTTCTACTGTTGGCGAACTCCCGAGTACACTGGTGGCGTCTCCTTCACATACACACACAAACGGGGCAAGCCCTAGCACGTGACATGGATGCACAGGATGCACACAGGGTCGTTCAAGGGCCCCTGTGTGTGTCTATCTATTCCAGACACACTAAATTGATACTTTTTTTAAAAAATGAGAAAAAAATGGCAAACCATTTTTTTTCTTTTTCTTTTCCTTTGTGTGTGTGTGTGTGGTGCTGGGGATTGAACCCAGGACCTTGTGCAGGCAAGGCAAACACTCTACCAACGGAGCTATGTCCCCAGGCCAGGAAAACCATTTAAAAAATATATTTGGTGGGGGGTACTGGATATTGAACCCAGCGTGTTTACCACTTCCTCAGCCCTTTTTATTTTGATAGAGACTCTCTCTAAGCTGCCCATGTAGGCCTCAAATTTGCCATCTTCCTGCCTTAGCCTCCTGAGTAGCTTACAAGTGTGCACCACCACACCTGGCTTTACGTGCACTCTGATGGGTGGGCTCTACTCTGGAAGGTACCATTGCCCTCATTAATTTTGACGTGTGTTGATTTAAACCTCTCACAGTTTTCAGCTATCTTTGCTCGTGAGTCACTTGTTTTGACACTAATGGGTAGTTCCTACAGTGGCAAGGTAGGTGCCAATTAAGGAAGCACGGGTCGGGAAAGAGAGGAATGGGTTTTGGTAAGGATGGACGATGCTGAAGTGGAGGGGTGAGGGTACACGAGTGGACAGGACACTGGGTGTCCTGTGGCCACTGCTCTAATCCGTCAATCTGGGGAGGAGGCATTCCCTTGCAGTACTCTTCATTTTCTATCAGAAGTAGTCTTCAAAGAGGTCTTAACTAAGAGTGGGCAAGGAGGCAGTTGCCCGTCACGTGGTCCCTGGATGGCATGAACACAGGGCTCTTTTGTTTGCTGGAAAGCTGGTTCTCAAACAATGGACAGCTGAGCATCAGCACTGAGTTTTTATCCATGAAGCCATAAACCAAACGCATAGCCTTGCCCTGGCTTCAACACAACTCCGACTCGGGGCAGTGTGGGTGAAGCCACAAGCTACTCTTGGGAGGGAGGGAGGGAGGGAGGAAGGAAGCTGTGGCGAACGGGTACAGTCCTCAAGGAGGACAGCGTCCTGGATGTGCTGCCGACAAGGACCTGGCAAGAACCAATCTGTTCCATCCTACAGAGAAGAAAACCCGATCTTGGCTGAACAAAATACAGCATTCAAGGCCAGTCACAAATGCTGCCCAACTGCCCAGTGTCACGATAGGGGACGGACAGCTCTGGAGGTTGGGTGGAGCTGGGACACGCCTGTCAGTGGTGAACTGCTGCTACCAGGGGACTAGAGCTGTTTGTTTGTAGGTAGGTAAGTGTTTGAGCCAGCGTCTCACTCTGCTGCCCAGGCTGGTCTCGAACTCTGGGATCCTCCTGCCACAGCCTCTTCAGTGGCCGGGACAACAGGTATGCACCCCCATACCCAGGTGTATTTTTTTAACATAAATCATAATTCTGGCTCTATCTCTGACTAGGTATGTGACACCAGACAACCTCTTTGCCTCTCCCTCTCCTGATTCTGATCCTGGGCTTGTGGCTGAGTGGTAGAGTACGTACCAGCTCTCGCACCAAAAATAAAATAAATAAAAAATCCTAATAACTCTGGCTGTCACCTGTTTCACAGAACTGCTGTGAGTACTGGAACAACATATGTGAAATACATGTGGTAGATCCCAGAGTACTCCAGAATGTTGATTATTATTAAGTGTGATTTTGTTACAGCTGGGACCAAATGCTTTCTGGAACACATATGTAATTGTTTACTGAAAGCCATGGGAGGGACGAGGGAATTCCCTCAATTAAAAAAAAAAAAAAAAAGAAGAAGAAGAAGAAAGAAAGCTTCAGAGCAAGCTTCCAGGAAGCCAGTGCTCCAGGAGGGACTCTGTCTGCTGCCCCAGGCAGGTGCTTTGTGTCACAGAGTGGGTGAGGAGGACACCTGCCCATGGACCCTGCCAGCGATCAGCCCCACTTTCTGCTTCTGGGCACAGAGCACATCAGTCAAGCTGCCTGTCTGCCCATGGCACTGGAGGAAGAGTAACGGGGACATGGCCATGTTGTCTGGGCACAACAGGCAGGACTTGCAGGGTTCCAAGCTCAGAGTCCTCTGACCACTTCTTGTGCAGACTGGGCATGCTCTTGGAGCCTCTCTGTTTACAAATAATAATAGCTGTTGTTACTTTAAAAAAATTTTTAATTAAAAAATATTTTTAGTTATAGTTGGACATAATACATTTATTTTATTTATTTATTTTTATGTGGTGTTGAGGACCGAACCCAGCGCCTGGCATGGGCTAGGCAAGCACTCTACCGCTGAGCCACATCCCCAGCCCCTGTGGTTACTTTTTATGGTGTCCTGATCATGCACCAAGCAATGAATTAAGTGTTTATCTCATCTACTTCTTCCAATTCAACTCACGAGACGACCTACCCATAGATGAGGACATAGAGGCCTCAGAGGTCAAGCGAAGGGAGTGAAGGGAGAAGCCAGGATTCAAAGTGACTCTGGCTCTCTGTGACCTTCGCTAGCTCTGATGGTACCCTAGAAACAGCCTTCAACAGGCCAAAGCATCTTGTAATTTCCAACAGCTACAGAACAAGTTCTGGAGTTAAGTCAGAGCCTGGGCTTAAGTCAGGCTCTGCCTCTTACAGGCTGTCCTGTAAGGGGAGGTCACTTCCTTTATCTGAGACTCTGTCTCTTCTCTATATGATGGGGATAATGGCTGGATCCATACAGAGCTGTTCAGAGAATTACGTAAGCCGACACCTTCACAGCCTGTGGCACTGGGTAAGTACCCACTAAAGTGCTCACTTTTGTACTAGTTTCCTGTTTGATCTAGTGTCCCTTGAACCAAACTGCTCTAGCAGCTGCGGAGGACATCTGCATGTGATGCTCCAGTGACCCTAGGGCTCCTTGGGAGGCCAGGAGAGACGATGGCAGAGGCAGAGCTCCCACCACAGAGCAGATCTGCTTTTATCTGCTTGTATTTTGGAATTCTGCAAAAGAGGCTATGTAAAAAGAAGGATTTCCTACTTAATTTCTAGAAAATTTACAGACGAAAAAACGTGTGTCCACACTAAAATTTAACTCTCTTACGGATGTATACGTTTTCTGCTTCTTTCTTCTGCTACTTTCTTCTCTCCACGAGTAGACTAGGATGGGCGGCAGGGGGCAAGGTCCTGATAGGTTTCCACCCTCTCCTCTCCACATCAGCTCGTGCATCAGAACCTCAGCTGACCTTGTTAAAGTACCAGTATCTGGTAGCTGTGGACAGTGCCCTAGTTTAACAAGCTCCCCAGGTGGCTCCCATACAGGTGGTCAGAGGTCACCCTTTGAGAAACACTTTTACCAAAAGATAGGGGGTGGCAAGGCCTTTTAAAACTTCTTTAAAAAGTTGATGAACACTCTTCAGGGTCCATCGAATGGACACGCCCATATGGGAAATACATCAAAGCAGAGGCTGGGCGTGGAGGAGGCCTTAGGAAGCCGGGACAGGGCCAGCCTCAGAGCTTTCCCCAGGCCCAGCCACGGCACCGTATCAGCCAGAACAGCTCTCCCTGGATCCAGGGCCCTCCCTCGTCTGGGGCCAGCCAAGATTCCTGGTACCTCCTCATGCCACCCGACACTCTGTGGCCTTCAGCTGAGCAGGACCTCCTGAATTCCCTCCCCTTCTCACTTAGTCCCATCCATCCCTTATTAATCCCACATCTTACCCCAGGGACCACCTGGAACCTTCTCTTGCAGCTGCCCTGGTATGAACTATTTGTGTAATAAAATCTTACCCTACCTTGGTCTTCAGCTGTTTCTGACTCATGATACATATCGACCCCAAACACACCAAAATTAGATGGTGAGTTTGTTGCAGCCAGAAACCCCCTTCTTCCCTCGTTATGACCCAGATCTAGCGTTAGGCCCATGGGAAGTACCTGCCACTGGCTGAATGGGTGATCGACTCCATGGTGTCTCTTCCCTCCCCGCCTTCCCCAGTATTAAAACAAGAAGGATAAAACTGAGATCACCAGCAACTGGGTTGCGAGTTCTTCCTTCTTTTATCTACTTTGGAGAGTGTTTATGTTACTGTTCTCTTATCCAGATTTCATTTCCACAAGATAGGAACTCATTTTTTTGTTTTATGTTACCTGTCAAGGTAGCTAATTAAAAGTTTAAAATTCCCTATTGAATTTTTAGGGATCAGTTTATCTTTGCCTTCTGGGCTGTGGGTTTTGCTCTCTGCTGCTGCTCAACCTGTTTTGCTGTGGTGTATTTTTATGTTTTGTGCCCTGCACCACCGGGAGACAGACCTTCCTCTCAGAGCTGTGGCTTTGCGTCTTTGTTTGATATTCATGTTCCTCCTGCTTTCTTGAACCACTCTGCAGTCACATGCACCGGCCAAACTTCCTACTTTTGCTTCTGTGACTTTTTAATAAACGCCATCTGTGTGCCTGAATCCATCTGAGATGCTCGTCCTTAATTTATGAACCCAGACTCCGAGTGCTGTTGACCAGGCTCTGGTTTCTCGCTGGCCTATTTTGCGTTCCTTTGTGTTCCTTCTACTCTCTCAGTGCGTGAGCTAATCTGCTTTCTTTTACCTTTAAATAAATTTGGAAGATGGACGCACCCTAATTTCGATCCCTTAAGCAATGGACATCTTTGGTTTGGTAAAAGGCCTCGGTGGGTGCCTTTGTCGGCAGCCTCACTCCTGGCACCACGGATTGTGCCTCCTGGGGAAGATGGGGTCTGGCTTTGGTTTCTGTGGTTGAGATAGTGGGGTGAGGGAGAGGCTGTGTCCTCATGGGAAGACGCTAAGTGCTTGGATGCCCAGGGCGGCTGGGCCGGGGGTGAGAGAGCTGGCCCCACTGCCCCCCTGCTTCCTTCCACTGTGGAGTCTGAGCTTTTGTGCTGGTAGTTAATCAGCTCAGAGTCCTTCCTCCCCAGTTGCTGACACGTCCCTCCAGGTCTACTGAATGCTATTAGAAGAGGGCGAGACTGAATTCAGCCATGGCTGAGGTCCTCATGGGCCTGCTGGACCTCATTGCTGTGCTGCTCCACCCCTAGGAGATGGCCCATGGCTGTGGCCTGTGGCAACTCTGCCGTTTGAGGTTTGTGAACCACAGTCATCTCGACCGCAGAACCGAGGGCTTGTGTCTTGCCTCGCCCGGAGCGGCTGAGTGGCAGCAGGGTGGCCTCGCAGGTGCGTGGCATGGCCTGGGCAGCGAGGGTCCGCCCTGGTGCCTCTTACCTCAAACTGGATCAGCACCGTCCCGCTTTCAAGGCCTTTTTTTAACAGTTCCATGGATCCTTCCAAAGTGTCCCCACCCTCCGGACACATGGGGAAAATGGTTTCTGGGAAAAGCTGGTTCAGTTCATCTTCAGATTTGATCTCGGTGAATGAGTGGACAGCTGGAAGAACAAGACAGAAGGCGTCCGGCACTTTGCTACTGGTTTCCCCGCCAAGGAGGACCCTGCAGCAGCTGGGCACAGGTGTTCAAATGTCTTACCGAGTGGATCAGCACGTGGTGGTGACCACCTCCACCGAGACCCTGTTTCCAGGTGAATGACCCAGTATGTGTCACTCACATAAACAACATCTGATCTCTGGTTAGTTTTACACGACTGCGTTTAGTACTCGCGGGCTTTTTCCCCAAAGGTAAGGAAAGGAGGAAGAATGTTCTTAGGGCAGATTTTCTCATTTGTTCTCTGACCTTGTTATTTTCCCACCATCCCAGTACCTCTCCCTTCTTGGGTCCTTTTTCATTTATTTCCCTTAAATGCAATTTTCCCAGGCGCTGGGGTTGGGGGAGGGTCCCAAGTTCGTGCTCGACAGCCCAGTCTCTACGTGGGAAGCTCCCAAGGAACATCCTCTGTGCTTCAGTCCAGCTTCAAGATCCACATTCTCCTTTCACGTCAAACTCAGCAGGGGAAGAAATACTTCTACTTTACCTGCCTGTATCTACTTTCTCTCCTTCTCCCAACCTGGAGACTTTGGGATCATTTCTGAATTTTCCCTTTTCACTCAGAAAGGTAAGTCACTTCCTCAAAAGCCTTCAGTGGCTCCCTACTGCCTTCAAGATCACAGGAAGGGGGAGGAAAACTAAACACTCGAGTTTCCCCACAAAGTGGAACTGAATCCTCACAATTCTGAATGTGCTGTTGTTCGTCCCGTTTCACAGACAAGGAAATGGGGCTCCTGGGACGGGGAGAATCATTAGGGTAGGGCACGGGAAATCGGTCCGTGTCTGTCTGACTCTATTGTGGACCACAGCTTGGCTCTTCTTGTACTATGTGATTTTGACCCTATCTACAGCTTCCTGTGCCAAAGTTGACTTATCACTTTTTCTTTAATATAAATACTGGGGATTGAACCCAGAGGCACTTTACCACTGTGCTATATCCCTAGCTCCTTTTACTGATTTTTGCGTCAGGGTCCTGCTACATCGCCCAGGCTGGCACGGAACTTGTGATCCTCTGGCCTCAGCCAGAGGAGCCGAGATTCTAGGGGAACATTATGTGCCTGGCTCAGTCCATATTTTCTTACTTAAATGCTTATGTTAGAAATAAGCTTAACATTACGATCACTGGAAATCCGGCAGCCCTTGCTCTTTGGCTCTGACGGTCTCTATTCACTGGTTTTCCTCACCTCAAGAGGCACCAGCCAGGGGCCAGTGGAAGAGGCCTCCCGTGCCCACCGGGGACGCCCAGGTCTTTGTGATGGAGGCTCCCCACTGATTCCTCAGACTCCCGTCATCATGTGGCCTGACCACTCACGTGGCAGAGGGAAACTTCTTCACCTGGGATGTGGTTTCCCTGTTTTCTATTTGGGGTGACAACACCCACGTCACAGGGGAGTCGTGAGAGTGGAGGAGGATGCAATGGGAAGCCACTGACCCAGGGCGAGGTCCTCGTCTGGCATGACCCAGACACCAGCTACTGTCCTGTGGACCCCCACTGTGTGCCTGGCAGGCTCCAGGGGCATAGGAGGGATCAGAGGTCCCCTACGGCCTCCCAAGGAGGTGGGTTCATGCTGGCTCTGGGCTGGGAGTTCTGCAGGGAGCAGAGAGTGGCAGGTTGGAGCTGCCCAGCAGGCGTGAGCCAGGGTAGAGCCGCGTGGCTGGGGCTCCGCAGTCACACCTTCACCTACCACCAGTGCTAAAGGCTGTCAGGGGACTCACGGTCTTGGCTTGTTATTCAGAACAACAATGGTAACTCCTTGGAGGCCCTCAAGAGATGACACTTGCCAGGCAGTGGGCAAGACCCTGTCTCTAAATACAATACAAAATAGGGCTGGGGGTGTGGCAGAGGGCCCCGAGTTCAATCCCTGGTACCACCCCAAAAAAGAGATGACACTCAATAGAGGACTTCATTCAAACACCTTCCACAGCCCAGACAGCACCCAGTGTAAGTATCCTTAATCTTCACAAGCACCCTTGAGGAGGGCACTGTCAAGTCCTCAAGTCCCTCTAGGGGAACAGAAGTGCAGGCTGGGGCTGTAACTTGCTCAAGGTCCCTAAACCTCAACCAGGAGGTGGAGTCAGGAATCTCCGGGGACATTTGGCTCCACCCCTCTAGCCTCAGGGCCTGCCCAGCAGACCTGAGCAGGTACCAGTGAAATCCAAGGGATCCTTGGGGAAGGGGCTGAACACGTGACCCTCCGCAGGACCAGGAAGATAAGAGACTGATGGGGGCTAAGCTGTGCCTGAGCTGGAGGAATCCAGGGCTCCAGCCTGGAGTAAAGTAGGTGTTGGGGCTGCCTCTCTTCAGAGCACCAGCCTGGAGGGGTCAGGCTCTGGGGAGGAAGATCTTCACCTTTTCCCAGTGAGAAACGAGACACTCTCATTGCTATGGGAAAATTCTCGATTTTCAGATGCTGGCTACACACCCCATGTTTTCCAACCACAGAATGGGCTGGACAGTGTCCCCGTGGCTCCCCCCCCCCAGCAGGCACTGTTACCTTTCCTCCTGATCACCAGGGCCAGCTCCCTCGAGTGGGACTCCCGGCTGGCTTTGATGAACATCACCACCTGGTCGTGGGTGTGCTCGGAGATGTCCCGGCCATTGATCAACACGATCTGATCCCCTTCGTTCAGCTTCGGAATGCAGGTGTCCGCCTGCATGGAGGAGAGCGAGCGTCCGTTACCATGACACCTCCCTCCAGGGGCCGCAGGCTCCCTGGTCCTGGACACCTGAGACTGCCACCACGTCATTGTTTTACCCACTGGTACGGGCACAGGGAGGTGGCCGTGGGATTTTAAAGAAGTGCTGCTCAGAGTGTGAGCTAGGAAGCAGTTCAGGATAAGGCCCGAGACGGCTTCGCTCTGGAGGTGCTGTTAGAAAAGGAGCCGGCAGCTGGAAGTGAGGGCGCAGCCGTGGCTTGCGAAGGGAAGGCCCTCGTCAGCACCACACCGGGGGCAGGAGCCGCTGCGGGGCGATGTGATCAGTTTAAGAGCACAGGAACCCCCAGAAACCACGAAGAGCAACACCAGGACAGCGACAGGCTTGGGGACAGACTGCTCAAGAGTTAGAACCCCCAGTGGGCCCCTTCTTAGAAGAGACTCGGATGTTCTACCACTTTAAAAAAGCAAACGATCAACAGGCAGCTTCAGAGTGTGACGGACCCCTGAGTCTACTTGTGGGCATCCGTCCACTGTGCCTGTGTCTGAGCACCGTGTTGTGCTGCGTGCCCTCCGCATACACAAGCACAGCAACTAGAAAGAAAAAACGCCAGAGATGTGGAGGGCTGCGGTGGTGCTGGTGGGGAGACGGTGGGAAGGGGCTCAAGGTCTGTGATCCTGCTCAAAGCGAGCACAACGGCAGACTCTGCCTCAGTGTCCCCCCCTCCACAGTACTTCTCAAAATTGAATATGCACACAAATCACCCAAACGGGGACTCTGGTTCTTCAGGCCTGGGCTGGGGCCAGAGGCTCTGCTGTCTAACGAGGCCCCAGGTGACACGGGTGCCGAGCCCCCAGGGCCCACAGAGCAGCAGGGTTTTAGCAAACCCAAGTCCCGCTCCCTCCGTCTGCCTGGGGGGACTTACACCCCACTGCCGCAAAAAGAAATGGGACAGGCAGAGACCCGACAGGTGTTGGGGAAGCAAATGTGGAGCCCACACGGGGACACGTCTACTTACAGGTGACTCGGGGTTGATCCTTGAGACCACAAGAGGCATCTTCTGATCCACTCCGCCCTGTCAATGTGTCAACGTGAAACGACACTGAGTAGTTCACAGCGACAAACAGGTAGACACCAATAAAGCCAGTCTTCTGGCCCGTGGGGGCCTCAGACCTGGACCTGTGCTGCTCGCAGCCTGTGGCACCCCTCTCAGAACTAGGGAACGCCCTGTTGGCTTCTCTGCGGAGGGGACATCAGAACCGTTCAGAGGAGTCCCAACACCCCCACTGGTGATGAGCTGAAAAGGGTACGAGCACCCTGTCAGCAGCACTGCGACCCCAGAAGGGCCCCGCGAGCGGCCAGAAACAGGAGCTCTCAGGGCGGGCAGGTGAGGCCTCAGGAAGGGTCATACGTTGTGTGGGCAGGGCCACTGGGTGCTGAGAAAGATGTGCACGAGGGCAGCTGGGGACGGCTGGCAAAGACCAGCTGCCCTCACCGGCTCTAGGGCAGGGGGTGGTGGCTGGTAGGTTGGTGGTTGGAGGGCCTGGGAGCCAACATTTCAGACTTCATGGGAAAGAGGCTCTGGAGCAACTGCTGAACTCTGTGCCACATCCCCAATCTGCAAAGGGACAGGCCAGGCTGTTCCCACCATACTACGGGAACAGATGGGATCCAGCCTACGGGCCACCATGTGCAGACTGCTCCGAGGCGCCCAGAGGATGGGACAGGCCCTGCACCTTGGAGAGCTGTTTTCTCTTATCAGCTTTAGCAATGCTGTGGGATTCTCTTAATAAGCCTTTTGAGGGGGTAGATCTGCTTGCCAACCAAGTGCCTTCATCTCTCTGAGCCTTACTATCCATCTGTGAGGTAGATTTAAAAATACTGTCTTCACCGCTTATTTTAAGAGCTCAATAAGGTGATATAAATCTAGTGTGCAGCAAGTGTTGGGCACAGAGGAGGTAGCAACAGCCTCGGTCACATTAAAAACTCCCCATCTGGAGGGCTGAGCCAGTTTCCCTATGCAGCTTAGCTATGCAGCACATTTCTAATGGAAATTAAAATTCACCTCAAGTGGTTTCCTAGCATAAACCTACCAAATAAATACACATGACATACCTTAAGATTAAATCCAAACTTTCCATCTTCATCCGGTGTGATACGGACCAAGACTAAGTAGCTGTCACCATTATCATTCTAGAAAACATTGGAAAGTGATCATTTACATTATTGCCCTTCCAGTGGCCCGTTCACAAGGGTGGGTCACTTAGGCGTGGCGGGACCTGGGCTGGCTCACCTTGTCACAGTAGTATTGGCTGGCATCCTCAGTGGACCCTCCCTTGGTCACCCTGTTGTAGTCCTCTAAAAACTGCTGGTCGACCCCATCAGGTGAGCAGGAGCCTGGAGCATTTGAAGACGGAGACACAGAACTGGATGACTTCTGGGTCAGGCAGCTTTGTGCTGGATTGTTCTCGGATAGACTCCTTCATCGTGGGGAAGGAGGAGATATTTTAATAACTGGATTAATGTTATTAATGCAAACATCACCAACTTGTTTGGGGACCAATGTCATGGATCTCTGGAACCTTTGAGCTACAAAGGTCCACTGCAGGGGTCTGGCCCATGCAGAGTCCTCCGGCCACGCCTGCCCTGGTCTGGCCTACATACAGCACATTAAGTTTGGGGGCAGAGGGACAGGAGGGCAAGTTGGATGCATGAGCTACTAAACACTTGGTTTCCCTTCCATTTACATTTTGCTGGGCAAAATGTGTCCAGCTACTTCGGTGATTTAACTTTTTTTTTTTTTTTTTTTGAGATGGGGTCTTGCTATGGTGTCCAGGCTGGCCTTGAACTCCTGGACTTGAGCAGTCCTCCTGCCTCGGCCTTCCAGGTGCTGGGATTACAAGTGTGCAGCACTGTGCCTGGCTCTAGGGTTAAGTATTGACCCAGACTCTGCCAGGCAAGGCCGTGCAAACGCACATGTCCCTGTATCCTCTGAAGGACACTCTCCTTCCATCTCATTCTTGCTCCATTGGATCCCTGGCCACCCAAAGGAAGCGGGGTGGCGGCTGCATGTTGAGGACAACTAGCATTCCTAGTTTATATCTGACTTCCATGGGCTGCCCTCATGAGCTCCTGTCTTGTCTTTCTGTATTTAACGTGGGTTCTCCTGGACCTACAGCTCATTGTCCTATATGGCAGCCTCTGTCACACATGGTACTTATATTTAAATAACTTAAGATAAAAAGTCAGTTCCTCAGTTGTGCTGGCTACATTTCAAATACTCAATGGTGCCTTCCAAGCTGGAGGGCAGCCACAGAACTTTTCTCACATCACAGAGGTTCTGTTAGACAGTGCAGTCTTGGACAATGACAGATGGTTAGAACTGACCAGGCCTCTGTGGTCCTCTGCTCCAACTCCACCTCACAGATGAAGACGCCAAGGTCCAGAGAGGCTGAGTAACTTACTTAGGGTCACACAGCTTTCCCCTCACACTCATTCTGATGGTCCTGAGTGTTCCCTTCTGCTTTGCACAATGCCAAGTCTGCTCTTTAGACTCCTGTTTCTAACCTCACAGGACCACAGATCAACCACCCCTGCCATCAGGCGATAGGACAGGACGCTCAGTGTCTGTATTGCCCACACCGGTCTGTGGACCTCACACAGGTGTCTCACAAGGCACGGGAGTATGGCTTCTCCCCCCATCCTACAGACTCTGCTGCACCCCAGTCTCACCCGGGGAGAGGTGAACGGAGAAGGCTGAAACACCAACGGCGAAGACGGCGGCCCCACCTTCACTAACCGTCTACTTCGAGGCCTTGTCCGGGGCTTTTCATTAATACCATCTTCTCTCTTTCCTCAAGTTCTGATTAGCATTTTCTTGTTTGTTTGCCGTGCTGGAGATGAAACCCAGCGCCTTGGGCCTGCCAGGCAAGTGCGTGCTTGCTCTAGCACTGAGCCATACCCCTGGCCCAAATCAGCTTACGTTAAATAGAAAATCTGTACCTATTCACACAGAATAATTCGCAATCTCCATTTATTGAAGAAAATATTCAGCGACAGACCAATGCAGAAACAGCTCTATGGAGGGGAAAGATCTGGCTTGTGGTTTTCCTGCTGCTGGCAGGAAAAGGGTGTTGGGGCGGGAAGGCATTTCAGGAGAGGGTGTTGGGAGCTGAAGTTGTATGCTGGGTGTGTTTCCACACTGACAGTGAGACTCTGATTCACTTAAAAATAAGATTTCAAAATTTGCCCCCAACTAGGGCAACGTGGCTGTTTTCCTGGTTTTTTTGTTGATTTATGTTTTTGCAGTGCTGGGGGCTGAACCCAGGGTATCACCCAGCTGGGCAAGGCTCCACCCCAGCCACACCCCCCGCCTCTTTTACTGCTTACAAGAGCACCACCCGATGGCAGCAAGGGCAACTGCGGAAGCCAAAGGCGTAGGAGATGCTATTTCCAGTTCTAGCGATGCCCTTGAACCTTTAATGGGAAGAAGCTGCTGATATCGTGCGCATACTTGAAATGTCTGCAGGAGTCCAGGGGGTGGGTGAGCCGTGGGAAGAGTGAAAGGCAGGCACACGAACAGAAAAACAGGGCCGAGGGGCTGGGATTGTGGCTCAGAGGTAGAGCGCTCGCCTAGTATGCGTGAGGCGCTGGCTTCAATCCTAAGCACCACATAAAAATAAAGATATTTTATCTGTCTATCTATAACTAAAAAAGTAAACATTAAAAATAGAAAAGAAGGGCCGATGAACAAGCAAACAGACTAATTTCAATTAAGTGGTATTAGTGAATATTATGGTTAATTGAAATGTTTTCTAAATATGTGGGTTTTATTATATGAGATTTCAAAATATTTTTCTCTTGCCAATACAAAACTCAGTAGTCTAAAAGAGCTCACGGTGCTAAATAACACTAGTACCGCTACTACGACTAGTACTAGTGGACTTTCCAAATCCATCCCGTGCCCCAGCGCATTTTCCAATAGGGTTGGAGGTGACTTTAGATGGTAACTTATGTACACAGATGGCTTATTTTTGCCCTGACCAGCTGCATACAGAGGTTCCTGCAGGGTCCGGTGACATTCTGCTTGGTATGCAAGACGGATGGACAGACAGAAAGTAATCAGACAGTGGTAGCTAGATAGAGCACTTGGGGCAAACACGCTTCCTCCCTCTCTGGGCAGGACGTGGGTGCCACTGAAAGGGACAGGGAGGGGAGATGCCCTGTGAAGCCGGGTTCCAAGGAAGTTACTGTGACAGGAGCAGAGAAGGAGTAGGATGCGGGAGGCAAGAAGATGTGGGTGGGTGAAGCTCGTGACGGGGAGGAGGAGCAGAAGCCAAAGCCCTGAGACAGGAGGGAGGGGGACACCGAGGAGACTATCCCTCTCCTCCAGGAACCACAGTGGCCAGTATGGTCTGGACCATGCCCGTGACCTGGGGCAAAGAGGGGCAGAGCCGGATTGCCAGATGTCTAAGAACTGTAAATACAACAGGCATCACAAACAAAGCCTTGGGAGAGGTCATTTCTCTGAAGATCAGAAATGAGAAATGGGAAGGCTTCCCACGAAAGGAAGACGGGGCACGATGCCTTCCTGCACCCGGTTCGAGATTTGCGTTCGAGGTGGAAGAAACAAGACGAGAGACTGGATGAGGATGGTGAAAGAAAGACAGGAGCAGAGGAAGACCGACGTTTCTGGCAGGTACACAGGGGGCTTAGAGGCAAAGCCTTCCTCAGCCGGGCGCAGGGGAAGACGGAGAGCCCAGGTAAGGCGTGCGGTTCATGTATAAGTGGGCAAAACCCAGCAAAGGACAGGCAAGGTTCAGGGACGCGAACGCACTTTCCTGGCTGGTGCCCCAAGAAGACAGACGGACACAGGTCCTCTCATGCTCCTGGATCTCAGGGGCTGACGTACACTCGGAGAGGGCAGGGGCCACAGGAACTGGGATTGCTTAACTTGGAGAACAGGAGCCAGAGCCCTCAGGTGGATCTGGAAAGATGCCACACCTGTGGCTCCAGGGGACTGAGGCAGGAACCTGTACACCAGGTCAACATCAAGGTGACATCCAGCAGTCCTGAAGGATAGTTGCCCTCAGTGTCCATGGGGGATTGGCTGTAACACCCACCAACGCAGACACCAAGTCTACAGCACTCCCGTCCCTTACATCAAATGGCACGGAATTTGCACGTAACCGATGCACATCTTCTCATAGACCCTAAATCATCTCTAGTTAACCTGTAATACCAAATGCAATGCAGATGGCACGTAAACAGCTGTGACACTGTATTGTTGGTGGAATAACAAGAAGGAAAACAGTCGGGACATGTTTGGGTAGAGATGCAGCAACCCCCACAGGCCTAACTGCACGTTGGACATGCAGGTAGTCAGCTGGGTCCATGGAGGCAGAACCTGTGGACAGAGTGGGCCTGCTGCCCCGGCTGCCCTGACACCCAAGTCCAGACAGAGGGTGCGGCCACACTGCAGGGGAGCTCCCCATCAACGGTGGGGGTCCTCAGGCCCTGGGGGCCTGGATGACAAGGCCAAGAGAATTACCCACTGTCAGTGCCACTGAAGGAGGAGATTCCCAAGGTCCCTCTCAATGCAGGGAGGCTCTGAAATAAAAAGTGACACCTGCCCCAGACCTGGCAGAAGAAGTCAGGCTCGGGGGAATAAGCAGAGACTTCTTTGTCTTTAAGCAGCAGTGCTCTCGGGAGGGGTATCTGTGTTGGTGACATGATGAAGTAAGAGCAAGAGGTCTTCTGAACACAGCCTCAACTTGCTCTGGGCTGAGTTTCCGGGGGCTTGGGCTCGGCAAGGCAGGTTTTCTGTTGGGTCTGGGTGGAGGGTGGGAGGTGGGGTCCCTTTCGCTATTATCGCCAGGAGGAAAGCTGACTTCTCTGTAGAATCTGTTCTTCCCCTGGAAGCGAGGAAAGGATCAAGAATGGCTGGTAGAGCCGTGGGGACAGCAGCCACAAACGGCCTGCTTGGGCCCAAAGCAAACTGCCAAGGCCTCAGAGCCCCAGAGTAAACCCTGTGCCACTGTAAATGCAGAACAGGTGGAGTGAGTCATGTGCGGGGACCGTGCTCCACAGCCTGGGTGGAGAGCCAGAGCCCAACCACTCTTTTTCTCTCTTGCTTCTTTGTCTTTAAGCAAGTACAGAACATTACACTTCATGCTTCCTTTTCAAAGAAACCCTCCTCGCCGCCTGTGGTATTATTCATCTGATTTCTCTGACAGAATGCTTCTTTTTGCCTCTTAACACAAATGTGCTGTAGAAAACATGTCAAACTCTTCTTAAACATTTTGCAAATACTCAGTGAAGTAACCAACACAGCTCTTCTCACCAAGTACAGACCAGCCTGCCCTCCTTGCCTGGGGCAGCGGAGGGTCCCCTGGCTCTCAGGAAAGCTAGCGGCCTCTGGAGCCCCAGCAGAGAGGCTTCCGACAGCAGGAAGAAGTTCCCTGCCTAGCGGAGGTGAGGGCGCTGGTTTCCCCAGTTTCCAGGCCTCCTGCAACACGTCCACTCACACCCAGGGTCCTCGCCCCTGGCAAAACCCCGGCAGGAAGGCTGTCATTAAATCACCCTACTTTTAATATTTAGATGCAAAATAAAAAGTGTTCTTGGAAGAGACCTCGCACAGGGTCTCAGAGAGGCGTTTCAGAGAATCAGGGTGTACTGCGCAGGGGCGGGCAGGGCCAGAACTCACTGAAGTCAACAGGCCTGAGGAAGTGAGCTTTCATTTCATAAACTTAAATGTCAACAGCCCTTGTGGCTGGTGGCACCCCTGCTGGGCCGTGACGGCCTAGGTGTACTACAATTCCATGGAATGCAGACCAGTGGGAAAATCTGACGTAGGACATGCAGCCGTCTGGGCTTCCCTGAACCCTGCGACAGTTCTCCAAAGCAGCAGAGCCCCATAGTGTGACCATGGAGGCTGATAAGGAGCCATAGCCCAGCTGGTGCCTGAAGGCAAAGCTCTGTCTGATGTGATTCCACTTTTCCCCCTCCATGGTCAGCAGAGGATGCGTAGTGTGCTGCGGGACCCAGGACCTTGGAGCAGCCACAAGCCACTCTTGTGAAGAAGAGTGGCATCTCTCCTGCACAGGCCCACCCCACACAGTGAAGTGACAGAGGGAGCTGGGCCATAAGGCCCCCAGAGGCCACCCTGGTTCCATAGCCAAGCAGCCAGGTGAGAGGTAGGAAGAGCTCCAATGGCAAGCCAGCAGCTAGTCCCCAACTTAAAGGTCACTTGTGTTTGAGAAATGTCTTTTCCACTTGGAGACATTCTGGGAGTTCACTCCACATTCAATGAATAATAGAAAAAAGTTTCAGTCTAGAGTATGATCAATGGCACTTCCTGTGACAATTGGAGTGGGCTACATATGTGCCGTCCCACATGAGAGCCACTACCTACACGAGGCTTGACAGAGCATTTAAAACGTGGCCTCTGTGACAGAGGCACTGAATGCTGACATTTTATCTTGAATGTCCATAGCTGGTGGCTACCCCAGTGGGCAGTGAAGGTCAGGGTGCTCTATGATCCCCCATTGGGGCTGCAAACCACAGCAGGAAGCTCTGACGCGGGGAGGGCACATGGGTTCCCGTGAGCCCTCAGGCAGTTCCCTACACCCGCTTCTCCTTCAGCCAAGCAGCAGAGGAGTCAAACTGGCTCTGGTCACGCACACCTGTCCTCCTGCCTGTACTTCTAGGTTTGCTTGTGGTTTGCAAAGCCACAAGGGTCACCAAAGGAACTCATACCCATTCTCTGCGGCTTCCACAATCATTTTAAGAAAGCATCATCAAGCTCAGGTCACAAGGAAATAATGACCATAAGGATTATTTATCCAGAGGCGTTAAGAATGAAGATAAGTGGAAGACCAGACCATGTTTGCTGTGGGTGGGGTAGAGGAGAGGCAGCATCCCCGCACGGGAGTGGGGAGGAGATCTGCAGTTCACCTGCGAGTGCCCAGGCGCCATCAGGATGTGCCTAGTGCCCTAAGCCTCCAGCTTCAGCGACAAGCATGGACAGATTAACACGGAGCCCGCTTGCTAACCCTCTGCTGTGAGAGGCAGGCACCGCCTTTCTGTATTTTGGTCATAGGCTGGGGCTTAAGAGAATGGACACCTAAAGACTAAAGTTCATTTCCTACCCAGTGCATTCTTTCCTGTCATACTTTAACCTAAAAAGTCATTTAATTTATGACCTCTGTCTTGTCTACTTCAAAAATGACTTAAGAGGGCTGAGGTGGTTGCTCAGTGGTAGAGCACTTGTCTAGTATGTGTGAGGCCCTGGGTTTGATCATCAACACCACATAAAAACAAAGTTATTGTACCCACCTACAACAAAAAATATTAACAAACAAACAGAAAATGACTTAAGAGAGCTTACCCTAAAAATGTACAGATAGATAGAATTGTATAAGAAAGGTAAGGAAGGAAGAGAAGGGGCTCCATCAAAAACCTGGGCTAAGGGAAGTGAATGCAAGTGAGCATAACACATAGCTCTGAGCTTCCTGGTAAGCAAGGCAAAAAGGGAACTAAGGGTTAGCCACATGTTACTGAATAACAAAGAATTCAAGCCAGTCTTGTAGAAGAGACATACATTTCCTGGCCTTATCAATGAAGGGAATTTGTCACATTAAAAAAGAGTGGGAAATAGAGGGATTTAGAACAAACTGTCCTTGACAAAATTTGACAATCAGGGATGTTCTATCTAGCATGTTTTTTCCTTCTTACTATTAAACATGAAAAGAAAACAAAATCCCTCAGGGCGTACTCTTGTTCTAAGAAGGCTTTCAGCACTTTCCCAGTGATTCGCAATCACAGCGAAGCTCAAATAGTCTAAAGAAGCTGTAGTTCATACAGCCCTGGAGTCTTCCCCCGCAACATGAACAATTTAAAATGAGCTTTGCTCATGAACTAGAGGGGACTGCGAGAGACTGACGGGTACATGGAGAGTAGGTCTCGGTCACAGACGAAAAGCAGTGTGAGCACCGCACCCGGGCCCAGAGGTTGCCTCCCTGTGAAGACCGGCCGCTCTGATTTGTGTTCTCATCCTGGCAGAGAGCAGCCTCGGGAGCTGGCTGTGGGCACCAGCTCTAAAGGCCACTTGGACCTGAGCAAATTCCTCAATAGACAGCCAAGAAGCAGATACAGAAAGAGGAAAGGCCACAGGTTCTTACTCTCGGTGTGGGCTGCGGTTCTGAGAAACTTCGGAATCGCTGTCTTTGGGGGACAGGGAGCCCTTGTAGGTGTAAAACACGTCTTCAGTTTCCGTAATGTACGTCATCTCATTCGCCAAGTTATCAGCAGAGGAGTGGCGGGGCTTCCTGATTTCGTGCCGGAGCCGAGGACTTCGCCTGGGTGGGGAGAGGTTAAGTTCAAAGCGCTGAAAACAAATTCGACACAGAGAATTTGACCAGGCATCATGATGGGGATCGTGTGCTGGCCTTGCTAAGGAGGCCTGGGCTGATGCTGCTACCAAGTCAGAGCCAGGTAGCTTATTCCTGTTGACCTAGCGTCAAGACGTCATACTAGGTGCCAATCAAAATTTTTCGCACCAATTTGAACAACGTAAACAAAAATTTTAGGAGCCAAAGTGAATTTCTTGGCAAAACGCAAACCTTATTTCCTTTACATACATCCTTTTGTGTGAATTTCACTTGATCCCAGAAGGGAATGTTTGCTTTTCAAACTACATTCCTTATTAGCCACATGTGGGGAGATGGACGTCCAAGTGTTGCCTTGCTCTTGTAGCAGTAACCAAGTGACCTTGGGCAAGTCCCCTGTACCTGAGGGCCTTCCCTGCACTTACGGCTCCTAAGAATGAGCCAACTGAAGACACTTTCTCAGAATGCTGGGTCAGCACCTGGGCACCTGCAGCAGGTCATCCTGGGCATGCTCTCTTCCCTCACAGTGTTTCCATCTTCCCTCTCTCTGTTAGCTATTTCTCCTTGGGACTGTCTGGACCCCCATGACTTGCAATCTCCCCAAGTCCAGATAATCAATAGTGCTGTGTCCTGTGACTCTCTTAGGAGAGGGCCTATAATTAGCATCAAGAGCTCTAGGGCACGAGGGTGGCAATATCCAGCCCGGCTGTTCTGGATCCCACCCAGGGCTCTCTGGTTCCTGGCGCTGCTGCCAGAGAGAGTTCCAGATAAAGGAAGCTGCTACTTTATAGAGCATAAATGTATCCCTTTAGGATCCTGGAAGATCAAAACATTTTAAATCTTGGAAACCAAGAAGCAAGTCTATCCATCAGATCATGATTTCTGATACTGAAAATTATCTTCACTCTGCTCAGGGCATCTGGCGCCCGGCAGAGGGTCCTTTCCAGCAGGCCCTGCAGACAGCCTATCTCCCTGGCTCTGTCCCAGTTTCCCTTTGTCCTCGGAGATCCTGGCTCAGGGACTCACAGGCTCTCCTGTCTTAAAGCCACACTGTTAATTCCAAGTGGAGCTGGGGCAAGACTTCCCTGCCTGCTTCCCGTCTTGCTGATGCCTGGCCTCTCTGCAGACAGGCACAAAAATGGGCTGGTATCTTTGGGGTCATTATAATAATATAACAGTAACAGAAAAATTCTACCTGGCTCTTTTAAAATAAAGTCATATACAGCAAACTTAAGAAAATTGCTTATATGAATATAAAATGACTATTTGTGGTAATTTTCATGACCCTTACATAGAAGGAAAACTGAGGTCAGAGAGGTAAAAAAATGAACTTAATTAGCAGAAGAGCTAAGCTCTGCATTTGGGTCTTCCAGCTGCAAACCCAAATGGCCACGTCCTTCCTTTTTACCCCTTCGCTCCAGAGCTAGGGATGGAACCCAGAGCCCTGTGCACGTTGGCAAGGGCCCTTCCACCAGCCACACCCCCACCCGCTCACATCTCCCTCCTTTTTAGCTGCTGCACCCTTAAAAGTTAGCAGCCCCCCACCAAGGGTGTTTGCTGCTGTTGCTGAGGGTCACACAGCCTCACTTCACTTACATCACATATTTTCATCGACTATTTCCAAAGTTTATTTTGTGTGATATTAACAGGAAATGTAAGGCTAAATAAAGTTACTTGTGCTTCTTCACCACAGGACTTCTCAGAGCATTTAATATGCTAACGCACACCACAACTCTAAGAAGGCGTTTCCGCAGGTGACAGCTTCCAAATTTATTAAGACTGAATGTGTTTTTTAAAAAAACACAGTTGAATAGGAGGAATAACTTCTAATATTCTAGTATGGTAGGGTAACTGTGGTTGACAGCAACTGTATACTGCAAGGTGAGTAGGAGAGAGGATTTTGAATGTTCCCAACTCAAAGAAGTGATAAGTATTTGAGGTGATGGATATATCAATTACCCTGATCTGGTCATTACACACTGTACACCTGGGCCAGAACATCACACTGTACCCCATAAGATGTGCAGTTAATGTTAATTTAAACATTTAAAAAAATTTTAAAGAACATTTCAACATTATATACTATGGAAATGTTTAGCTAGGCTTGTAGACTTCAGGAAAACAGTTATCTCTACAACAGCCCAAAATGCACACAGAGACTCTGACTGCAGGCCATCTGTGTGTAGGAATTTATAGGCAAAGAGAGAGCGCGTGTCTGTTGGTGGGTGGCACAAAGGAGGACATACCAGTTGGGGGTGATAGGAGGGGACCGGGAAGGCAGGCTCTTGGTTTCTAGATGCTCCACTGATAAGGACCTCCGCATGGCAGGGTTCCACACCATTCCTCCAATCACCTTTTTGCAATATTGGCTATTTACAGACCTGAAAAATCAGACACAGGTTCACTTTCCCCACTGACACTGCCAGCAAGAAAAGAAAGCACAGCACTCGTGATGAGAATCAGAGTCTCCCCACACTCCTGCCCAGACGGACGGCTGCTCAACCCTAGGTGACACCAACCAGGTTCTCGGGAGCAGAGCTGGAGAAACTGTCCTTAGGAGGGTCCTTTCCACCCTGGCTTTTCCTTATGGTATTTCTTTTGGTAAAAATGTGTTCATGTTTCCACTACTTTAAGCTACCTGGTTGCTTCCAGGATATAACCAAACCTTACCAGATTAGAAGGAATGCCAGGATAGCTAGCAGAAACACAGTTCAAGTAACTTCGAGGGATTCTCACTTTACTCACATTGGCAGGAGTGAAAATATTAACCATCCCTCCGGATGCTCTTTGTCACCCTGGCTGGCAGAAGCTGTCCCTGTAAATCACTGATAACTGACAGAGAACCTAAGGATATACTTAGAAAGTACAATTTCACCCGTGTTTTTTGAAGGTTACATCTGAATCTTAGTTATACTTAGAGAATTTAAATCTTGGAGAAAGAATTATTTGAGAGAATAGCCTGAAGTTCATTAAAGGCTAACGCTTTTGGTTCTGGTATTGTAAACGTTCAACTAAGTTCTAATGTCTTAGGAAAACATTCCACATATTTCCTTGTGGCCTAAAACCAACCCATCAATAAAAACAAAGACAGACAAAACCAAACTCCCCTTAGAATGTCACATATTAATTTACAATAATAAAGGCCAGTTGCCCTGATGGAAATGCTCACGGGGACATCACGAGGAGGACCTTCCCTCTGAGGTTGATCTACATCAGAAACCACGTGACCATTAAAACAAGGGGAGCTAGCTGCTCGAGTCCCAAGATTAACGTATCAAATCCCCAAAGCCCGTGTCACAGGTTAACGGGTTGACGAGTGTTCCGTTGTCCCGTAAGCTTGGAAAATTCCAGGATGCAAATGTGCAGATTTATGTCTAGGCGTGGGCAACCACGTCACCTTTCTAAGCCTCGGTTTCCCCATCTGTGAAGTAGATGGAGGTGAAGAGAGCTGAAGGCACAGCACGCTGAAGCTGGTCCTGGGGTGAAGGAGTGCTGACTCGCGCCCCAGCTCACCAACCCCCAGGCCCCGAGGGACCCCTTGGTGACTAAAGATGGCTGGTAGTTCTTTGACTCTTTGCCCTGTGCTGCCCGGGACAGCTTTAATTGACAAAGGCACTTGCCAGATCCAGGCCTCAGCCTTGGGAGGACTGGCTGGTTCTGCCTTTGGCTCCTGAGGCTTTGAGCCTCCAAAGAAGAAATTCAACTGCCCAACTGTAGAGTCTACCTGAAGAGGCTGAGGGGACTGGGTGGGTCATTCCACCACACACCAGGCACGGGTTGAGCAAGTAGTTCAAAAGACACCAAGCCTTGGAGAGAAACTGTCTTGGACCCTCCAGACAAGTCCAGCCACCAGCTATGACATTCTTGTCTATACCACATGGAGCAGAACAGTCCTCTGTCTAAGATCCTTGAATTCCTACCCCACAACATCTTAAAATACAATAGAATGGTTGCTTAAAGCCACCGAAATAGACACAGTTTATTACATAACAGTACATCACTAGAACCCAGCCCCCTGGCTGAGGAGTACGTTTTGTAGAGGAAGAACCTGAAGCACCAAACTAAAATCCAAGTGGTCCAGGGAGGATTTAAACCTGGCTGCTCAGCCCTGGGACTCATGCTGTCTAGGCCCTCACGATGACACCTCGCATCTGGCCTGGACGGCCAGGTCCCACCTAAGTCAATACTATGTACCAGTACATTCTGACTGAATAAAATTGCTTTATTCTAATTAACTCATAAATAATGTCACAACAGTTTTCAGAGGTCACACGTTCACACAGTCCCAAACTAAAACCATCTCAGTGACCTTCCTACAGAGCAAGATCACCTGCACGGCTGCTATTCCAAAGGAGGGTCACTGGTGGTCACACCACATGCTTTCACTCTCCAGTATCTTCTTATACTAAGTAACTTGGTCACGAGAGCTGATTTTCCACTTCTTGATCAGATGCCTTCATTTGCAGATCTGTACTGTCACAGCACCTCACTGAAACCTTCTTGGAGCTTAATGTCACTGGGCTTCTGGGCACACTCAAGAAACTATTTTGTCTTACAGAATCAAGGGCCACCAAGTGCTGCTGCTGTGCCAGCTGGGTTCCTGGGAGCTGCTCCTAAATGATATTGGGCCCTGGGGCTCAGAGTTACTTCCTCGGTGGAAGCCCTAGCGATGACGGCAGGACCCAGTGAGTGCCCAGTGCGGGGCCCACAGTCATGCAGCTGCAGGGGTTTCCAGACCTGGCTGCCAGACAGCAGCAGCAGGTGAGCACCCTGCGGACAGTGGGGTTGCCTCTGATGCCCAGCTTCTGTGCTGGCCTGGGTGCAGCTCTCACCCAAGGGACCCTGCTGGCCAGAGGAGCCATGCAGGAAGTTAGGCTTGGGCTTCCATGTGGCATGCTAAGTGTGCACTGGCTTGACACCTAGAAGCACCACCAATAAATTATTCTCAAGACTTATTCAGGGATAGCTACTGAGTGAGTAAATTACTAGACAGTACTGTAGGAGCTAAGAACTTTATATGTGCTCTTGGATCATGGGAAGCCGAGAGAGAGCATTGGGTAATGAGTGGCATCCCTGATACTAAATCTGCCACTTTCTGAGTCTGTTCCCAATGACTTCAGACAAGGGGAAAGTCCTAAAACACCTGATGCAGTTCCACACCACGTAACGAATCTGACGTGAGCCTCATTTAGGAACAACCACATAACAAATCACAGAAACTCAGAGAACCAACGAATGATTTAGAAATTCTAAGAATAACTTAGTAAACAATTTCTGCTGCCTCTTATACTTGGAACAAAGAAATAAAACAAAAAACTGCATGGTTATTTTTAGAGACTAAATACGTTTTAATCTAAATTTAAAATTTTAAATATACAGATGAATCATACATAGATCTCCCTTACTTTACTACTCATTAAATATTCTCAATATGATTCCCATGGGTAATAATACCTATCTCATAGGACAGCTGTCAGAATAAAATATAATTAAATGTGTGCCTGGCATAAAGTAAACGCTAGGTAACTGTCAACTGTAATTACTAATATTTTGTAATAGTTATGAAATATATTCCAAGGTCACCTGACTCTGGAAACCTTTTCTTCTGTTCATTCATCTTCATGAAGCACCTGAAGGGATTAATGTTCTGTGGAGAGGCTGCTGAGTGGCCTCAGTGGGAATGTCCAACATGCTGCACCAGGACGACCCTCGGAGCCCTTTTACTAGACAGGGTGCAGGGGCAGCTGCACCCCGGGTTGCTTGGGAGCTCTGAGGACAGCAGAGCTGATGAGGGACCAGAAACAAACGCTGAGAATATGACACACCTGGGCGTGTGCACGGACACTGCCACCCCCAGGAACTCTTCAGCCAGGGTTCAGGATCAGTGCCTAGGCTCAAGGTCACAGCATTCCCTCCTCGGCCCAAGGACATCGACTACCCAGTGGTGACTAGCCTTCTAGTGTGGACACTGCCCCTAAAAAAAAACATACTCACTTTTTGGGGTTCCTGGAGCCCAGAGTCCAGTACTGAGGCAGAACATTCTTTTCCTGAGGTAGTAACTTCTTTGCCTGAAAGAACGTATGGTGCTCGACACAGGATTTCCACAAGTTTTTGCAAGACCGGTAATTTAGCATGTTGAAGGCCACGATATGTTCCCTGGATTCAGTCTGGGAGGAAAAACAAGAGATTTCATCTGCATAGATGAAGGCCTTGGGTGTGCTTTAGCCACTATGGGGGCAACCAGGAAAGATGCAAGGGACAGTGTCACGGAATGTTCCAGAGCAGGACTGTTCACCCTCGTTGTGAATGCAGTGGTAAAGGCCACAACCCATTCCTCGTCGGAAGGCCTTCAGCAACACTTGTTTCAAGTCTCCTTACATTTCGAGGTTGGATCTATTTGGGGCCACCATCCAACATGCTCCTTTTAAAATTTAGCGCTGTGAACATCTCTGTTCTGAAGAAATACCCTTTGCCCTACCAGACAACAGCAACTTCATAACCTGGCGATTTCTCCACTGCTTCCCACAGAGCACAGAGAGAAGCCCAGTATGGTGACATGATAAGCATTTTAATCCCTGGCTCTGCCTTCATTCTGCGTGGGTTCAGGTTTTCTAGTTTCTTGTGCGTTTTAGAGTCGTGCTGGGGGGTCAGCTGGCCCAGATTCTTGCCCTCATTTGCTCTGAGCCCAAATGCTCCCTCCTTTCTAAGGGTTCTTTGCTATGTGGGGCCATTTTAAGGACATATTATCTTTGAAAAATTGGGAAATGGACATAATGACAGCAGGTGGCATGTATGAATCACAACAAAACTGTATGGTGTGGGAAGTGCAGGCATCCCAGACTCCTAACGATCTGTTCCAATTCCAGCACCCCCAACCCTGGCAGTGGGAGCCTCAGCTTCCTCACCTCTAAACCTGCTTCTCCCTGTGGCAAAGCAAACAGTTATCTAGGGTTTTATCAGCCTCCTCCGGAAGACGCGGGACACAAGCCACCAAGCTCTAAACACACCAAGGGAAGGAAGTGGCCCTGCAGACGTTTCCTGCAACTCTGCATGGGCTCTGGTGGCTGCGCTGACCATGCCCTTTCATTTCATCCTCCCCGTCCCTGAGAAGAGGACTTTATTTATTTATTTCAGGCTGGGGAGGTTACAGCCCTGCCCAGCTGGTGAGGGAAAGAGGTGCAACCTGAACCCACCACCTCTGACTTCAGAGCAAGTACATTCTCCAACCAGAGAAGCAGACGCCGACGGAGAGCACTGCTGGACCCTCCAGACCCAGTGCCACCGTGCTCTTTTGTCCCTGTTACATAGGTGGCCATCTGCCTCCTACCCCTGAAGAACTAAGGGCTGAGGTAACTTCAAAACACAGGAAAACAAAGCAGTGCAGACACAACTCACCTGTTTTTGTCGCTGATGTATAAAGAACTTTTTCCTTTTGAAAGAAATTTTGAGAATGTTCACCCTGCAGAAAGTCAAACAGAACACAAAAACCAAAAACTAAACAAAATGCAAAATAACACACACATCGGGAATCAGCCAGTGGTAGCCGACCCCTTTCAGTATGTGTCCTCTAGTCCACGGTCCTGACGCGGGGGGCTCCCGGCTTCCTGGAGAGCACTTCACCATGAGCAGCGGCCGCCCATCACCTCCACCAGACACCAGGAGCCGACTGAGCTGGGTCTCGCACGGAGCCGCTGGACTGTGATGTAGCTTTCAAATAACAAGCACGGATGGGCCATGCGCTCTCAGTGCTGTGAGCTTCTTTTGTGACACTACAGCCCTGCAGAGCTGGTGGACACGTGGGGAAGACAGCTGAGGGCAGTGCAGAGCAGCAGCAGACAGGCCTGGGTCAGCATCCCAGCTCCATTACTTAATGGCCACGTGTCAAGCAGCCTCTCTATCACACACACATACAGAATTAAAGACGTCATTAGCAGGATATATTTTTATATACCAGGCCAGTGTGAAGAACTTTACAAATATCCCCTCCATTTAGTCTTGCAACAAACCTGAAAAGTGCATACTGTTATACTGTACCCAGTTTTCAGATGAGGAAACTGAGGCTTGGAGACATTGCAGAGGTGCTCAAGATCACTTGGTCAGGAATGCTGGGAGCCAGGATCTGTACCTAGCACCTTCCTAAATCCAAAGCCCGTGCTCTTGGGCCCTACAATGTGAAGGCTCCTACACGGTAGCAGTAACACTATCTCACAAAGTGGTCTTGTAAGGGTTCAAGTGATTAGGCATGTCAAGTCCTGAGTATGATGCTTGACATATAGTAGGCCTTCAGTGCTTGTTCCTTTCATTAAAACTGGTTAAAGAATTCATTTTTTAAATCAATTTCATTCACACTACTGTAATCCACACAAGGAACGCCCATTTCCCCACTAAAGACTACTTTAGTAATACTTCAGGGAATAAACATTCTATCAATCTCTAGGATCATATGAAGACCTAGGTAGAGCATTCTAGAACAGAGAGACTGGTGGGGTAAACTGAAAATCCATACATGTGACATTTATCCAGTTGCATCAGCAGTATGTGGTCTGCCTACAGTACATATAAAGTATTAAATAATGCATGATCTGTGGTGCAGATGAACTTGTTTGACAAGTGAATTTCTGGGGTGCTTGCAGGCTAACTAGCAAGGACCAGAGCTGTTAGGTTCAACGCTTGTGAGGTACTCGTCCTTGCATGAGAATACCCTGCCTGCCATCTCCCTGGTCTCCTTGCTGCTCTCCTGTGCTAAAGGGCAGACACAGGCACTCCTGTTTTAAAGGAGTCAGGATACCCAACTTGTGAGCTTCTGAATTCTTACCTTGCTTTGCCCATGGGAATCTGTGGGCCTCTAGCTCCCCCCTGTCTTCACATACAGGGACCCCTGCTCACCCCAATTTCTGTACTTGACAGCATTCTCTGCCAGAGCAAATCTGATGAAGTGCAGACACAATCCGTATTATTCCAGGATTAAAGTCCCTACAGTGGTTTCCTACTGTCCTCCATTCATTCATAAGGGAAGAAAAAAAAAATGTACAAAGGGTCTAGATGTCTGAAGTCCAATGTCAAGCCCTGGGCACACAGGGAACATGACTGTGGGCAGCAGCATCTGGAGACGCAGAGTCTTCTGAAGGCGACCAGTACCAAATAAAACACTGATGCAGATAACTAACTATATGTGCACTCTAAGTGTGAACTGCAAATGTGTACTATCAGTCATGGTCAAGGCAACACTACGAGTGAGAAAGTCCAGCACCTCATCACCAAGAATGGAGTACACACTCCTGTGGCCAGAGGCCCTCCCCCGCCAGGCCTCTCTCCCACCACTCCCCCCATCCACACTGTGCTCCAGACTGGACCACCCACCTCCCCTTGACTTACCGCATGTTCTTACATTTCTGAAACCAAATGCATACTGCACCTTTCCTCGGAAATTTATTCCACCCGGCCAAAGCCCATTCGGTTTAGTGTTTACCTATGTGGGCTCAGGGGGATTCCCGAAGTCCGCCTACAGTACTTATTTACTGCCCTGGGGCCACCATTTGGGGTTAGCCTCCTGTCTTTGAGGTTTGCATCATGGGCAGGGACAGATCTCAACATGACCCACCTGGAGGTTGAGAGGTTAGGCAGTTAGAGGCAGGTCTGCAGGTGAGCCCAGGAGCGGGCGGGGTGTCAAGTCCTATGTCCCATGAAGCCCTTGCCTGTAGGGCTTTAAGAGGTTCAGCTGCAGAAGAGGTGGACCCAGTGGCTTCTGCCCTGTGGCTTTTGGGGAAGCCTCCAGCGCCTGGAGGGAGAGTGAGCCATGTGCCTACCACACACAGTTCTGGTCCTGGGCAGGCTGGAGAGCTGCCCAGGCCACGTCCCAGCTAGGAAGCCCAGACTCAGTCTCCTGCTTCCCAAGGGGGGTTTATAACAAGTCAAAGGGAAAGGAAGATGGGGGAAAAGATCCTGTAAGCTGTTATACTGATTTTGTTGTGAAAATTGGATAGGACTGACATGTTTTCCTTTTGAAAAACAGATACCCTGTAACACTGGAAGCCGGTGTCTGTAAACACATATCCTATTGAAGCACTTTCCCACAAATGCAATTTTTAGGGGTGGCACAAGCATTCAGCGTGGAGTGTGATCTGGGTGTAAATTTCAACTGTACCAGGCATCAGCAGTTGATCCCAAACAAGTTCTCCCTTCTTTGTGCCTCAGTTTCCTCTTCTGTGAAACGGGGGATAACAACAGTGCTTACTCCAGGTTTAAAAGAGATAACAGATAAAGTACACGGCAACACAACTTGAACACAGCTGATACCAATAATGATGACTGTCATTATTATTATCCCTCTAATTTTACAAACTTATAGGATAGTTTTTTTCTGTTGTAGATAATGCTATGATGAACATCTTTAGGTCCCAATTAGTGAGGCTCTGCTGCGGGGAGACAGGCAGATTTAGACCCCAGGGTCAAGTTCAGCGTGGTTCAGACCTGGCACTCAATCTTGTCCCTGATTTCCTTCCTCGCAGCCCCTCTTCTTTACCTGCTTGTATGTCTGCTTCTGCGCCTCCTGCGGACTACAGACATCACTCCCTCAACTCCCCTGGCAAATCTGCCCCCCTCACTGCACACCACCACTGCACTGTCATCTATAAAGATGATATTATTTTGCTGTGTTTCCCTAAGCATCCTGTCAGCTGGTACCTCAGGCTCCAGCTTCTCTCCAAAATTCAGTTCAACCCTGATGCAGCCCCTCCTCTCTGGGCTGTTGCTTCCCATGATTTCAGTGACCCATGGACAACTGTGGTCTGAAAATGTCAACATTTGTGTTGACTTTTTAAAGAAAAAGACCACATTTCACTCAAGTTTTATTACAGTATTTTGGATTTTTGTTTACTTTACAGTACTAAGGACTGAACCTCTGATCTGCATCTCTCCAGCTCTTTTTATTTTTAAGATAGAATCTTGCTGAGTTGCCCAGGCTGTCCTTGAAGTTTTGATCCTCCTACCTCAACCTCCCGAGAAGCTGGAATTACACCTGGGAGTGCACCACCACACCTGGCTTCTACAGCATATTAATGCAATTGTTCTATGTTACTATTATTAATTGCAGTTAATCTCTTACTGTGCCTGACTTATAAATTAAACTTTATCACACATATGTATGTACAAGGAAAAGCTCATAGTGTATACAGGGTTCAGCACTACCTGCAATTCCAGGCAACCCTGGGAGTCTTGGATTGTACTGCAGATGCAGAGGGATGGGAAGGCTTTCTTAACTCTGACCCACTTCATACCATTTATCCACCATGTTTCTGCAGAGTACCCCAGACTACAGAATGACTGGGGGGAGAGGATGCTAATGAAAACCAAACTCTACATTTCCCAGGTTTACTAAATTTGGATCAAATTCTGAGGTCTGAGGTTAAAGTTTGGGAGAAAATCTCTACTCCTCTTTTAGGGGAAAAAAAAAGTGTAAAATTACTTTTGTTCAGCGTATTTTTAAAGCGTGATTCAGACAATAATTAGAACTGTTTTCACTTACCAAGGATAGAAACTTGTGCAAATGTATTTTCGGTACACAGCAATGCCCGCTGAAGCAATTCCAATCATTAGATCTAAATTATGCAGATCCTGTGAAAAGGAAGATCTCAGATTTGCAGTGTTACAGTCTTGCTAGCCCACCAGTAACTTGAAAGCACCCAGAGTTTTATAAATAGCAATATGTATAAGCTGCAAAGGGGAAAATGCTACTGAAAACAGGCAAAAATCCCCACTTAATAGCTACTTGAGATCCAAGTACTTGGCACCAAATTCTTCCAAAGTGCACGCGCACATGCGCGCGCGCACACACACACACACACACAGAGCTCTTGGTCACCTAGTTTAGAAAGTCACCAGAATCACTTAAATAGACATTCAGTTCTAAATTTTCAAATCAGCATTTGACAGCCACATTAAAATCCGAGAGACCTCTCTCTGCATGGTTTGTACAATCTCAGCTCCCATTAGGAAAAAGGCTTTCGCTGTTCTGATATGATGAGGGAAAATTACAAGTGTAAAACTGACTCTAAATCCAATTAAGAAATAACTGTTGCTTACGAGTCCAATACAACTGACATTTACTAAGAACATTTACAGAGCGCCAGTCACGCTGTAGTCCTTGGAGACCCCGGAGAAGGGAAGCACAAACACTCCAAGCTGTTTTAAATCCATCTGAATATAAGCAAATAAAACCAAAAAAAATACAGATGGCCCCTTCCCTTGAGTCATGTACTTCCTGTTCCCCATCAGATACCTGAGGCTGTAAAGAAGGAGTTTGAGTCGGCGGTTTCAGCTGGGCATATATCTTTGGTCTGCCACTTGCCAGACATGTTGTTCGGGACTCAGAAGAGCTTTGATTGTTTTTTTCTTTTTGAACACTAGATCACTGAACCCACCCCAAAGGATTTTGATAGGCTAAAACCAGAGAATATGAGAAGGAATGTAGAACAGGGTTCGGTGTGTGGCATCTAGAATGGGGTTTGGCATATAGTTGGCATGATAAATGCTGATCCCCTTTGGTTGAGGGACATATCGTCTACGAGCAGCAATATGAACAAAGGAAGTTAGAGAAACTGGACAGGGAGAAGGGTTCTACCGTGGCGGAAAGGCCAGAGAGTATTCCTCCTGATAGCAGCCCGACTGAAATCATGTGCTTAGAGCGAGCCAGATTAGCATGATGAAGAACAGGGTCTCATTTAAACAGGACAGCTGTGATTGCCATTTGGAGAAAACAACAAATTAGCAAATGAAATAAAAATTGGGTGAATAAGGAGATGAATGGTTTGAGTAGGCCAAGGACTGGTCTGAAATCTCCCAGTTCTACAGCCTCTCCGTGTGTCCCTCACCCCCGCACCATGGATGGCTGCTGTCCATTAGGTTCCCGCAGCCAACACCACATTCCCCAGCTCCCCTGGCAGGAGGCAGGGCCACGGGACCAGTGCTGGCAATGTGCTCTGAGCAGACATGCCCTGTGCCTCTGCTGCAGCCCTGAAGAGCTGCTGTGGGACCCTCAGGCTCCTGATGACGAGGAAGCCACATGGGAGGAAGACGGAGTCTCCAGTAGCCTAGCCTGCCCTGGAGAGATGGCTGGACCCCACGCAGCAGTGACCTCCTCCTGAAAAGCCAACTCTGTGGTCTCAAGCTATTGACATCTGGGGGGTTTAGTTCACCCAGCACAGCCTGGTGGGACACAACCCCCTCTAATACCTTGTGGGCCTTGGCTAGGCAGCTAAGCATCTGCCTCAGAAACCTTGAGGGTCACTGCACTGACAGTTTGGAGATGGGGAAGACACAGATCAACTCAGAAAGACATAAAATACTGTTTTGCTACTGAATAAATGTCTCCAAAACATTCTGTCAAGGATGAACTATTTGCAAATAAGAGTAATCATTAAGGGTTAAATCCCAGAGTTGGTATTTTGTAAGATCTGCTATCTTTTTCCTGCTTTGTTGGCAAAGTTATGCCTTCTCTACCTCACAGGCTTCTACAGGACCCAAGGGAAACACAGAAATGGAAGTGTTTCTATAAACTGCAGACGCATTACATAGTTACTCAACATCCATGAACCTGTTTTCCCATCTGTAAAATGGGCAAGATTAGAATGCCAATTTGACAAGGTTACTATAATTCTTAAAATGAGACCAGATGGTGTAAAAGTCTGTGGAACAAAAACTGGCACATAATTGGAGTTCAACTAACATTTACTCCTCGTGGGTGTGATATGGGCCGGTGACAGGTAGAAAACACTAGTATGTCACCGTGAAGGTGGGAGGAAATTAGACAGTGCTGGGGCCATGTACTGAGCTACTTTTTATATCCTCTGTGTAGTCCCCAAGTAGCAGTTTCTCCATCTGTAAAATGGGGACAGTAATACCTAGTTTGTGGCATTATTGGGAGAAAAATTAAATAGTCCACTGGCACCACAGACACCGTCTCACAAATCGCAATAATCTTAAATATTTACTGATTTTCACAATCAAACCACCATCATTTTTTTTTTGGGGGGGGGGTAGAGTTTCTGATCAAACCCAGGGTCTCATGCTACATTCCCAACCCTTTTTATTGTGAGACAAGGGCTCACCAAGTTTCTGAGGCTGGCCTTGAAATTGAGATCCCCCGCCTTAGCCCCCTGAGTGGCTGGGATTACAGGTGTGCACTACCATGCCCAGCTCCTCCACAATTTTTTTAAAAAAACTGTTTGTAACTAGCTCTAATTTGAGCAGTGGCTGAGTGAAGTGGCAGAAACCTTGACTCATTAAACCTTGAAAAATGGACTTATACACATTTTTTTGCCTGTTTAACCATAATACAGTCTTAGAAAATTATAAGTTTCTATCCCCTGACCTCTCTCAAAAGGGAAAAGTCTTCATGTATAATGGCAACCATGAACAAAGCAAGATAAATGGCCAGCAAAGCTCGGCACGACTTAATAACCCTCTGAGTATCTTTAAAAAGGACTTCTGTTATAATGGGAAAGGAACAGCTTCATAAAAGAATTTTCCAAACTTTTACAATTTAAAAATTAAAAATATATATATTTTAAACCGAAACACACTGAGGCTACGTACTCTGCCGCCGTGCAGCTCCACCCCATAGAAGTCGAGGGTCCGGGCTATGTTGATGTAGCAGGACTCGGCTTCCGACTGCTTCAGCCCACTGCAGAAGAAAGGTTCAAGTTCACCAGACAAACAGGGAACGTCAACTCCAACTTTTAAAGGTTCAGAAAATCTAGAGGATTTGGTAACATCGCTCTGAGGTTAGGAAACGCCTTACATGGCCACTCTCAGACCACCTAACCCTAAACTCTAAGGAACCAGGTTTCCTTCGGTCGGTTGAGTTTGACTTCATCTAGACGTTGTTCACGCAGTGGCAGTGCCCCGCTCAGGGGGCTCTGGGTCTCCAGCCACAGGGGCCCATCCCCTCTCATGGTTCCTGTCCTGATCTTCCTGGGTTACTCAATTCCCAGGTAATCTTGACATCTTTCTGCCTTTGTCTATTCTTTTAGCAGTGGCCTCAAACTTCAAATGACGCTGGCCCTGTGCTATTTTCGGATGCTGACTTCTGCCAGGGGAGCAATTTTGGGAGAGCGACTGGCAGTGCCTTCTTAGAAGGGACACTGGTTGCTTGCCCTTTGTTTTTATGGCCTTCCTAAGAAGTGAGCGGTCGGTCCCCTGAGAGCTAGCCTCCTGGGCCAGCATGGCTCTTGCCTGACAGGAACTGTACTGCTGCCACATAGCTCTGAGCCCAGTGGGGAAAGGGAGGAGGAGGCTGGAGCTGGGCATATCTGCTGTGGGGAGGCTGGCCCTAGACAGTCACAGGAGACTGGAAGCAGTTTTCACGAGCTGAACCCATGAATGTCCAGCCTGTCAGCCCCTTCTGGCCACCTGTCTGTCTACTCAACGATCCCTGAAGGAAAGGCCTGATTTATTCAACGTGGTACAGCCGAAAGGATTGCCTGGTGGGGGCAATCTGTGGGGCGTTCAGATTTCAAAGCAGGTGTTTCCTTTAGGAATTAAGTCGATTTCAACGACATCCTGAAAAGGAGCACAGCAGCCGTGTCCTACTCTGCTGGCTGGATTTTATACTGCAAAGAAATGCGGGTCATGCTCACTGTATCTGCTACCATCACAGCTCAGAGGTTCAAAAAGCCCTAACATCTTCAAAGAGAATCATGAGCAAAAGGAAGGAGAGTATGCATTAAACAGAAGGTGATGCGATGTCTGAAAATACCCGACCCGAGCTCCCAAAGTAGGCCACCGAGCCCCTCACCTGTGCTGCTCGTGCAGAGACTCCACCTTGGTTAAAAAGTCATCGTTTTGATCTGGAATAAACTGGCTGTCAGCAAGGTAACCTGGATGATGTACAGAAGAATTAAAGTCTCCGAAATGAGCTATTAAAAGACAGAATGAGGGGGAAACTGGAATTAGTTCTGCCTTTTTGATACGGTCTGCATTTATGAGCAGCTACAGAGTCGTGAGAAAACATTAATTGGAAACATCTTCTGATGAGTTCCCCCCACCACCTGCAGCCTCTCAGACTCCACGCTGCTTATCTGAACCCTTGCTGGGGGCCAACACCGGCACACAAGACCGACCCAATTCTCATTCCCCCTGAGGACACACGGAGAACGCTGGAAGAAGGTGCTGGAATCTAGATCCTATCCTGACCCCGCGCCTCCTGCGCCCTGTTCAAGCACTAAGGTTGCCTCACACCCCTGGGGAAGGAAAGAGAAGGGATGCCACCAGGGGAGATGCCGTCCTCATGTCAGCCTCTGGGCACTGTCGCAGCCCAATGTTGGATCAGCTGGCTCTAAGAAATGGGTTTGTGCAGAAGAGAGGTCATGACTCACCCCCTGTGACCTGTGTAAACCCCCAGGATATGCTCAGAGGCCATGGGGGTAAGGGCTAGGTACAGGTGGGGCTAAAAGTCAGGGCCCAGGCAAGGCTGGTGGCAGGATTCCAGGGGAGGAGGACACATTCTAAGAGTGGAGGTGGGGAGATACACAGGGAAGAGGAAGAGGGGCTTTATGGAAAGATTTCCAGACTAACCCCTGTCCCAGATGACGCTTCTCCCTGAAGCCCTGTCCTACTGTCTGCAGACATGAAGTGCTGTCTATAAGGCCAGGTACTCTTGAGGGTTGTTCTGGGCCCAACTGGTACAAATACACATGGCTGCCCCAAGGACTCAGTCCACTTGGTGGACTCCGGCTGAAGAGATCAGGGAAAAGGACCAGGGGCAGGACCTGAGGACACCCAGTTCCCTCCTCCAAGACAGTTTTCTATTTCCATAAAAGCAGGAGAATGATAGGGCACTTGCCTAGCACGTGGGGAGGCCCAGCACCGCAAGAACACCACCACCACCAACAACAACAATAACAAACAGAAGCCAACCTCGAGCTCTGAAGAATAACTGACCTCATGCTTTATTTTCTTGAGTGTGACTAGTATGTTTACAGGAACCACTGAGATGCCTGGACACAGGGTACCAGGGAGAAAAGCATTAGCATCTCCTCATCCAAACCCTTCATGTTAAGGGGAAGAAATTGAAGTTCAGAGAGGAGAATGGATCTACTCCTATCATAGGGCCACTTGTCTGCAGGGTCAAGACCAGAACCTGGGACTGGAGGCCCTCTCTTAGTGCCCTAACATTTTACCTGCCTTCCTGTCAGGTCAGCAGGCTGCTGCTGGCCATTTGATGATATCCCCCAAAGACCAACTAAATGCTACAAATGTCTTTCCTGGGCTTGAAAGCAGAATCCTATTTAGTTTTCCTCTGTTGGTTTCATGAGTTCATGGAGATCCTCCTGAATGACCTGGTTATCCATCACATTAGCTAACAGTCCCAACCAATCCCAGTGCCACTGTTCTGAACCTCCCTGTTTTCCCTTCAACTCTTAAGCAGCTACTTTGTACAAAGCTCTGTGTTAACCACTAGGGGGAGACAAAGTTAAACAGCCACATAAACATTTGAGAACACTGGGTGGTTTCCACCAGACTTCAATGACGTCATCCCACTTGATTCCTGAGAACCCAGAACTGGGCAATGCTTTTATCCCCATTAAACAGGTAAAGAAACTGAGACTGAAAAAAGGGACCTGCTACTGCCACTACTCCTTGACCATTATTAATTGGGAGCCTAGACCTGACTAGAGTTCCTCCTCTTATCTGCCTACTTCCACTACATGCCCCAAACTCCAGAGTAAAGTTTTCCTATTTGTAGGAAAGCAACACATGCAAAAGTTAATTATAGCAGAACAAAAAGGAAATAAATGCTTCTGTGCAAAATACCTTGACTTTCAAGTTTCATGTTTTTTTGTTTTGGCTGACCAAAAATATGCAGGCATACTTTACTTTATGTAGCAAAGACAGGGTCCAGCCCAGGTTCCCAAGGTGCCATGTTTCCAGCTATCAAGCGGTTCTGCTGGGCAAGTCCTTTATACCTGCTATTATTTCAACTCCCACTTGCTCCCAGAGGCTCTTTATGGGCTCATTCCTGGGATGCTTTTCTGGACTCCCTCCCTCTCTCCCAAGCAGGATGGGGAGTATCACCTGAGCTCATTCTACAGCAAACATCACCGGGTCCTCACCTGCCTCACTAATGGGGTAGAAAGCCCTCGGGGAAAGCAGCGAGCTTTCTCCTTCCTGAAGCTGGCACAGAGTTTGCATTTGGCAGGAGGTCTGAGAATATTATGGAATAAATAAGAATTTCTAAAAGCTTCATTCTTTGTGCCTCATAAACCCTTGACAGGTTACTAGCTATCTTCTATCATCATGTCTTTTTGGATACTTAACCTACAGATCATTTTACTTAAAAAAAAAGTGCTTTTGGTTATCTAATCACTGGTAGGAGTTATAAGTCATCCATCTTGGGATAAGTCAGCAAACCTATCTGATAAAATGTAGACATAACTTTTTGATCTGGTAATTTCATATCTAAGAATTAATCTTCTAGACAGGTATGCACAGAAGTATGCAAATATATGTATTTATTTACTGAAGGTAGAGGAATATAAAATGCTTGCCTGACAACTCATGATTTTATTAGCATGGCAGTATTAATATTTCCACTGAAACCTGTATGCATTTGTTTTTAGGTCTAATCACTTTCTTTAGCCCTCATTTTATCAATCTTTTGTGGGGAGTGGGGGGCACTGACTATGGAAGGTTGGAACAGGATGCTTTAAATGTAGCTCTTAAATTTTACTCTACATTTAATGCTTGTAACAGGCAATTTTTCAGAATAGCTTTCTTCTGGGCAGACAGGAAAATACAGTAAGAGCTGACACTTGGCCAGGTTGTGGGCACTGATGTAAGAGCTTTACGTACATACGTGCTCGTTTTATCTTCACGCCCTGTGAAGTAGATGTTCCCATGTCCCCATTTGACAGGTGAAGAAGCTGTGGCCTGGCAATCTCAAGGTCACACAGGGTAAGTGGAAGAGCCAAGACACAGGTAATCTGGCTTCAGTCCATGTTCTGACTCAGTCAGTGATGATCAAACCATAAAGAATATTTAGCTAGACCACCTTTGCATGTGTTACTAAATTTGAACCAAATAATATTGCAGCCATACTGCGAATTACCGTCACCTCCATTTAACGGGCGAGAGACCCAAGGTTCAGAGAGGTAATACCATGTAAGCAGCAAATGCAGCATGCAGGATTTAAGTGTGGTGACTGTCTCCCTTCTAATATCCGTGTCTCTCAAGCCTGGAGCTCCAGCTATGAACACCCAGCTCACTCTGATGTGGGCAAGGTTGGTTTCCTCAGCTGATCCACCCAGCAGAGGTGGGTCTGCAAAACCCAGAGACCCACAGGAGTGCACCCTGACTGATGGCTGAGCCACCTGCTATATGGCTACCACACGCCAGGTCTGTTCCAGTTGTACTGCAGGGAGAGGGAAACTTTCAAATCCACTCAGGACTCCCTGGGCAAGCTCTGAGTGTCCCACTTAGGCAGGAGGAGACGCGGCGAGATAGAGAGCAGTGCTGGGTCTTGTCTTACTAGCAAGCAGGCTTGCTGTTTGCTTAAAGGCATGAAGTTGCCCCTGATGTCGTGTTCTCCCACTTCCTGGTTCCATGTATGTGGGCAGGTGAGCTGCAGGCCCAGCTACCTTGCTCTTCACCTTCATCTCTCTTATTTCAGTACTTTGCTGCTAGGGAGGAAGCAGAACTGGGGCTACCTCAACAGCCCCTGGTAACCCTCTTTTGCTATTTTGCTTCTTCTGAGCCTATAGAGTGAATAATTTGGCCAGTGCTTACTCTTGAGACCTGACCATCTTGCTCCCTTAATTGCCCAACATGCAGTCAATTGAGGGGGTAAGAGGCCAAGATGGTTTGGGACTTATGGCAAATGTAGAGGAGATTTCTTAAGACTTGAGCTATCTACCCTATAACTCTACACAGCAATATGCCTGTGTACTGTACTGGAATCACACAGCTAACTATAAAGTGACATTTTGTCATCCATCTGACTATGTACTCTTTTCACTGTGCAAACCCAGCCTCTATCACAGGACCTGACATGGAGTACCTGCTTGATAAAGTTGTGCTAATTGAACAAGTGGGTTTCTACTCCAGCTTAAACCAGCCCTGATAGAAAATTCCATTTAGACTTTCTATCCAGTATGGCAGCCACTAGCCACGTGTGGCTAGTCCAATCGGAGATGAAAGCATAAGTTCCAGACTGGTTTTCAAAGACAGTATGAAAAAAAATGTAAAATACCTCATTAATAATTTTTATATTGATTACATATTAAAATAATAGCTTGAATACGCTGGGTTAACTAAAACATTAAAAAGTAATCTGTCGGGCTGGGGATGTAGCTCAAGCAGTAGCACGCTCGCCTAGCATGTGTGCGGCCCGGGTTCGATCCTCAGCACCACATACAAACAAAGATGTTGTGTCCGCCAAAAACTAAAAAATAAACATTAAAAATTCTCTCAAAAAAAAAAAAAAAGTAATCTGTCCTGTTTCATTTTACTGGAAAACTTAGAACTACATGTACGGCTTTTAAATTGTACTTCTAATGGACAGCACTTCTATAGACCAGTTCATAACCTATTAGTTATGAACCTATTTCATTAGTTATAATGAAACTCTAAAAATAAATTCATAAGCTCTCAGCAGTGTTTCAGACAGGCACCAAGCATGCTACAGGAGTGACTTCCAGCAAATTCCTTGACCTAGCTGGGTCTCAGTTTCCATGTTTATAAGAGATGACCGGTATAAATATTGCTCCACTGGGGTTTGTATGGATATCAAATCCAAATACCTGGGCAAAGCCTCTGGAAAATGCCATGTGTGGTAGCTGTCTGCTGCTTTATGACTCCCTTTGGAGAAGACATCCTGCCAGAGCTCATCCACGCCCTCCCCTGGTGCCATTTCCCTTCATCCAACATCCCCAAGCTGGGGGAGCATCAAAGTCAGGGTACGAGTGGACAGCCAGAGATATACTGTCCCTGGGGAAGAGGGACTTGGTCACAGAGGAGGAGCTGGTGGCTTTCTCCATATACTGCTCAGAACAACCTGGCCCTCCATGCCACACTCCCTTGGTGACTTACATTGTACTGCATAGGATGCAAGAACCACAGCGGAGTTCAGAGGGCAGGTCAACCTGTCAGAAGAAAAACGTCTTAGCAAGATCACACGGTCCGGGAGGGCCCAAAACGCTCATAGGTCTTTCTTGTATTAACCACAGAGGACAGCATGACTCATAACAGAGACAACTTTATGATACATTTAATCACTCTTTGAGATTGATTGTAACACACTAAGGATTTTTTTTTTTAATAAAAAGAACTTTTTGTGTTTAAAATAACAAATACCACAGATACCAGGAAGCTAGACAGAGTTCTGACACTGGCCAGCAGGTTGGTTGGTCAGATTCATGTCTGAGAGGAATGGTGAGGAACGTAAACTCTTACATCAGTGGGCAGCCTTCAAATCTTTCTAGTAAAGATGCAACACTTTTGGTAGGGCTCTCCGACTGGATTCTTGGGTTCTAGAGACTATGATTTTTGACTATCCCCTTTCTCACATCCTCTTAGAAGGGAAAAGTGAAAAAGCATTTTGCATTTTAACACTTGCCATTCACTAATTAATTAATTGGCTATAATGACTTAAGGTTCCTGTATATATTTGCCCTCCTGAAGATCTATAAGGTTCCATGATTCGTCTGCCTGTCTTCTACCATCTCCAAGAAATCCAGACTTGGGGTGGACTTGTTCTCATTTTCTTCAGAACTCACTTGTCCTCCCAAATGCCCTACTTTCACCAGTGACTCCACCTGTCAGTCACATTTGGAGTCCTGACTGCTCCTTTCCTCCATTCACCTTTGGCTCCATGATCTGTCTCCCTGGGAGCTCTGCCAGCAGACGTGGGGCACAGCTGGATGGGAGCACGGGCTGGGAAAGTGTGAGGTAGAAGGGATCTGATAAAGGGAGGCATCCCCAACAGCAACACCAAGAGGCACTGAGATTTTAAAAGCATTTTCCCAGCAGCGCAGTGGGAAGCGGAGAAAACATGAAGTTCCCATGGCAGCTTATTAAGTTCCCAAGATGTGAAACATCCCGCCCTCTGACTGATCTGCTGGACCCTCCAGGGGTCCCCCTTCCATCCACTGCACCGTGTGCTGATCCAAAGACTGCTTACAAAGGCAGCATTCCCTAGCAGAGAGGCCTCCACCTCCCCTCAAGTAACTCTGGCTTCCTGCTGGCACTTGTGAGAGTCTCTCCAAGTCCATGTCCACGTGCACGTCCCAGGGACGCTCACTGTCCAGTCAGTCACCTGGAGATGCAAAAGGCGGAGGGAGAGCAGGCAGTACGTGACAAGCATCAGCCATTCGCTCTCCTCCCAAGAAGGGCCTCGCTGCCATCCAGCCAGCGTCCTTGCTAGAGGAAGAGCAGGTGAATGGGACCTGGGGGACACCTGAGGAGGAAGCTAAGGAGATTCAGCCTGGGTGGAAGCAACAATTTTACAAAGTCACAAGGAAAAACGTTCCCAAAAAGTGGTGTCCGAAACATACACTAAAGAACACCAAGAGCACTGCTCTCAGCCTCTGCTTGTTCCTAGGTATATTTCTTTCTGTCAGGTCGAGGGGAGTGGGTGAAGAGCGTGGACTGATCACCCCTCTAGGCAGGAAGGAGCTGAAGCCTGCAGTACTGCCAGCTCACAGTTCAGACCCCATCAGGGGATCTGAGGTCCCAAGAAACACCAACTGCCCCTCCAAGCCTATCAAACATCCTGGCCCAATAGCCTGATTCACACCTGAGAAGCAGGTGTGACAGCAGAGAAGCTCTCCTTGGAGAGGGGTGAGGGCCTCCTGATGAGGACAGCCAGGGATCTAAGCCAGATGTGCTCCTCAACAGACGCCTACTGATTCACACAGGAAGACAAAGGGATGTTTTGCTGGGACAAGGCAAGAGGAGGACAAGCACTGCCCAGCACCTGTGAGTGAGTGACAGCCGCAGAGGAGGCAGCCCTGGTCTTATCTAACTGCCTAGTTCAGGACCTGTCTCCTAACAGGTACCAGCAAAGTATCTGGGAAAACAAAATGTGCAGAAGAAAGGGCAGAACAGGTCTGTGTGGCCGTAGAGGAAGCCTGGGCCCCAGGAGAGGAGTTATCTTAAAATGTTCTGCCTCTCAGAAGGGTGAGATCCCCACCACTGGAGTGACCAAGCAGGTGCCCCAAGGCCACAGTTTGTGCTGGCAAGGGGATGTGCTCCTATCTCGAGGAAAAAACCGGCCATGTCACCAGGGTTCTGCATTCTGTGACCGATACACAGTCCACAGGTCTGGCTGTCTTCTCCCCAAGGAGGCTCTTGTTTCTACCTGTCCTCCTGGCCCTCCAATCTCCCCGCCACCCCCCAGACCTCTGGCTGGCAGGTCTGTAATGCTTCCCCCGGGAATGTCCACTCTCCTCCATCCAGACTGAACCCTGGCTTCCTCCAGTCTTCTCTTGTGTGCACTGACATGATTGTTGTAGGTGTGGTTCTCGCCACATTCCTCCTGCTTTTAGAAACCTTCGACTGTTCTCCTCTGCCTGGTGGATGCGAGATGCATGCCCATGTTTGACATGAAGAGTCCTCTCTGTTCTCTCGCATGCTGCTGATGGGTGGTTTCTAGCTCGGACTATGTGTGTATGTGTGAGTGTGTGTGGGGGGGGGGGGGGGGGGGTGATGGCTTCTTGCTGCCCAGCGAAATTTGACTCCTCACTTCTCTACTCTCCCAACTCTGGCTCACCCCAGCAATCCACAAAGACTTTTCCAGCCGGCACCAGTAGAAGGAGCTCCTCAACGCCATGACAACTGTGGTCTCCACTGCCAACGCTGGTCCTAATTGCTTCATGGGCTCCTGTCTTGTTCCCCCAACCAGACTGCCAGCTGTCTTGTGGTACAGCGTCCTGGTGGCCTCTGATGACCCTTCTCTGCAGGAATAAGCTAACAGGTGGAGTGGGGGGTGTTTCTACTAATTTACCTGCTGCAGTTTCTTTTATGAGTCAAGAAAATACTAAGGATTTGGAAGCAGCGGCTCCGGGACCACTTGCTTGGAATTCCATCCCCCTTTTCTGGGCTTGTCTCGGAGAGCTTCCAGTCATTTAGATGGTCTGGATACACAAGAAGTGCTGAATCACAGGCAGATGCTCATGTCTTTTAAGCAAAAGCCTTCCCAGTGAGAAAATGAATCATCCAAGATACCAGGGGCTGGAAGAGGACCTAAATTGGGCCTGATCTGCCTTCCTGAATGAAGCCCATTTTATATTCTGGGTCTCTCCCTCCCATTAAGATTTCTCAGGTCTTTACCAGAAAGATAACTGCACCTTTGAAATAAAGCGGAAATGGCATAAAATGAAGCTTATCGATCTTTAGCCTCTCTAAGCCAAGACTGAGTTGAAAACAGATGTCCAGAGCCTGATGTCACACAGGATGCTGTTTTCAAAGTCCAGTCATTGTCAAGATTTAATATTGTTGTCAGAAATACACACTCATTAGATTAAAACCATGAATTTGGCTAGTCCGACAGGAAAAGGAAAATGCAAAATGCTCGTTACCTTCCTTCACAAACATCCATCTTCAGTTGTAAGAAATACAGATGCCTACAAAACAAGGATTTCCATTAATTCATACTCAAACTAAAAGGAGCAAAAAAAAAATTTTTTTGATGCATCAAGAACAAGACCTAGACATCTGAAAAACAAAATACATAAAAATACATTTTGACGTATTTGAACTGGTAGCAGGTCTAGGACATCAGGAGCTACTCTGCATATCGTAAAGCTGACCCAGTGGTAAGGACTGCTCACGTTGGTGCCTATGTATGGATGGTGGGGGCCACCCCAGGGAAGGTTGAGCAGGGATGTATAAGCAACCCACCAGTGACTGGCTGTTATCACTGGTACTGCTGCAGGAAGTGCCCCCTCCCTCAGCCTGGTACTTCCCAACCAGGCCCTGGGACCCACAGCGTTCTCCACAAGCAGCCCCCGCACGCTGACAGGGCCACTGTTCCCAGCACGGAGCCAGCATTCGCACACCCACGTTCCCTCTGCATGAAGCTGCTAAGAGGAGGAGGGTCTATGAAGACACCGCCTTGGCTCGGGTGCAAACGCCCAGCTGGGCCTTTTCCTGTGTCCCGGGAACTGTGGGTGCTGGAGCAGAAGCATAAACATGGGTAAAGGAGAAGGTGCCAGCACCTCCACGCTGTGCCCTGCGCTCCTCTGTGAGCCACCAGTAGACTCAACCTCAAAAGCCTGAACCTGTTTTTGCTGACAAGTTGTCACAAGCCCCTCAGCCCATGAGTCTGTGCCACTGTCACAGATGGAAGCAGGGAGGTCCAGAGCAGCACGGGGCAGGCCAGGCAGTACCCTGGAGACACTTATATTTAGGGATGCGCCACACATGTGACTCTTGGCTGCCAGCTCCCACTCTTTTTTAAAACCCAGATTCAAATGGGATAGACATTCCAGGGTCTGGCCAAGACGACAAAAGGGAAACCTTGAAATCTAATATAGACAGGGCAGAAGGGCTGAGGGGCAGGACAAAGAGCATTCTGGCAAAGTTAACCACTCACTCTCATATTCCTTGGGTTTGATAAAAGGTCAAGGGACTGGCTTTTTGAGATGTGAATGCTTCAAACGGTATCACAGCCTCATAGCCGCACAGTTCTGAGCTGTGTGCCTGGGACTCTAACCTTTCCCCTCGTTTCAGCCTCCTCATGGTGCCGTCTGTAGGTACCATCACCTCTACCATTACTACAGATAGGGAAACTGAAGCTCAGATAGGGTACGTCAGGTCGGCTATGACTTATTTTTATCTAGAAACTCATGGGAAAAATCTCAGTACGCAACAAATCTGTTGTGTGTTTAAAGACAGACAGGCTTAGGGTCTATGTCATAACTGATGTTACTACTTTGATTATAATTATCATCACTACCCATAATGGGTGGAGCACCTGGCATTCAGAGACGGCACTGGGTACATGCCGATCATGCCTCTGCAATACTGGACTCCCTATCTTTCCCACCTAGGAGAACAGGATCAGTCCTTTCTCGTCTGTTTCTATGTTTATCCAAGCTGACATTCAACCAGAATTAAGTGTTCTCTCCTCCTACAGGGCTCCTGAGAGAAAAAAAGGGAGCGGAGAGAGTTATAGACAGTCCACGGGTCAAGTTGGGCTTGTGCTGAAGAGCCCAGCGGGTCACTGTGCTTTCCTAGAGATATAAATAAGAACACGACCATGAGATCGCCATACACCAGATGCCACTTCATCATAGGCTGAGTGAAGTTTGTGAGTCAACCCTATAACATCACACGTGAAGAAACTAAAATCAGGAGCTGCAACCCAAACTTAGGTGATTCCACAGGGATCGTGAAAAGGAGTTTAAATTTTAGAGATTGACAGTAAGTGAAGTTGTTTAGAACGATCTAAATTTATCAGAAACAGCAGTTGTGGAGGCTCATAATAAAAAAGGCATTGGTCTAGCAATAAGAATAAAGGAAAGTTATTTACAAGATAAACTCAGCATGCCTAAATCTGGAAATGTAATGACCCCTATTGAAGCAAATCCCATCCATGACCTCAACTTCTGAAAAAAAGCACTGAATTTCTCCTTAAAAAGAAACAAAATCAACAAATACTATCTCTATACTCCTCTGACTCTTGGGAACCAACTTTTCTTAAAAGGGCCCTCAATTTTGGATAAGCTTCAAAGCTCAAGCCCGATAAGATACTATATACCCGGAAACAGGTCGAACCTTTCATGTCAATTTTTAAAAAGCATGTGAATTACTGGTGGAATCCTGACCCAGCATAAGACAACTCTTCAGTCTCAGCTGCCCACCAGCTCTAGAGGAGCCACAGGGATGGCGGCTGCCATGTCTTCTGCCACACTGAGAAACCTGGTGCCCGTGCCCCAGGAAGTAGTAGCTAGGTTCTGCTGCACACAGCAGGGAACACTCACCTCTCGGTGGGGAGTGGGCCTTCAGATGTGAACTGGAGAACTTTAAGAGACAGGGACAAACTAATTCTTACCTGGGACTTGGGGAAGGACAAGTGTTAACCTATTGCTCGTCTGGCGCTGAGGTCTGCCTCTCTGGAGCCCCCACTCTCACCGCACCGGGCCATAACTCCAACTTCCCTCTTCCTACAACTCCTCCAGGGGGAGATGACAGCAGCTTCACTTCTCCCTGAGCCTTCTCTCCACCCAAACACCTGCCCCTCCAAAGATGGGAGTGCTCAGCAGGTAGCCTCTCAGACCCAGGAGAGCAGCAAGCTTCTTTCCCACAGGGTCACAGGTGAACAGCCAATGACCACGAGGGTCCTGGAGAGGTACTCCTGGGTCAGCCAGCCCTGGAGATCCTGCCCTCCGCTTCTGTCACTGGAGAATTCTACCATGCCAGCAGGTGCCACAAATCTGGGGCCTCAGCGCCACAGGGAGAAGACAAGGAGATAGTGAGAGTCACCAGTTTGGGCAGAACTGCCCACACCTGGGACCAGAGCCCATCAGCTCATGGTAAACCCAATTTAGTGGGTCAAATGTATTTTGAATTAGTGTGTGGTGTGTGTGTGTGTGTGTGTGTGTGAGTGTGTGTGTGTGGTGCTGGGGATTAAACCCAGGGCCTTGTGCATGGGAGGCAAACACTCTACCAACTGAGCTATATCCCCAGCCCTTTGAATTGGTTTTATAGAACTTTTACTTCAGCAATTCGTATGTGTGGGTACTGCATTACAACACTGGACACAGGAAATGTACATAATGGGATTATGCATACCTACGTGTAGACATAAACGTAATCACACACCTATGACACACAGTGTAAATGACATATAGCCCCCCCCCCCCCCAATTGTACACACACATGATTATTCATGTATTTTTTTTTTTTTAAGCTGGGACCTCACTATATTGCCCCAGCTGGTCTGTAATTCCTAAACCCAAGTGATCCTCCTGCTTCAGCCTCCCATTGGCTGGAACTATAAGTACATGTCCTTAGACCCAACTCTTCATCTCATTGTGAAGTATCCCTCAAACAAAATCTGTTGTTTAGTATTGGTCTGGGGAGGCCCTGGTAGGGTCATGTGGAACACTTCTCATAGACAGTGTCACCAGTGTTGTGTTCATCAGCTTATGAGCTGAGTGGCTCTGCCTCAGCAGGTTGGCCAGGGTGAGAGCTGTGGAAGGAGGACCCCAAGCAGGGTACACTTCCTCGCCATGACCCAGGGAGTCACGCTGAACCCCGCCCTGTACACAGGCTTAAAATTTAACAGAACAGCAAAGAACCGAATTCCTAGTGTCTGCTACTGTGGGGGGAAGGGGTACACAAAGAGGCAAGAGAGTAGTAGACTGACACTTATCCAGTAAACATATTAAAAGCTAAAATGTGATTGTGTGATCGCCATTAAAAAGAAAATGGGGCTGGGGTGGTGGCTCAGCGGTAGAGCGCCCGCCTAGCATGTGTGAGGCACGGGGTTCGATCCTCAGCACCACATAAAAAATAATAAATAAATAAAATAAAGGTATTGTGTCCATCTACAACTAAAAAATAAAATGTTAAAAGGAAATGAAGAAAGGGAAAATGAGACTGCCCTCAGCCAGTGCCACCTCGGTGGGATGGTCTCGCGGCCACCGTGAGCCTTTTCCTCCTGAAGCAGTTTTTCTCCCTAAGAACAGTAAATGGATGGGTAATAAAGGGGCTGATGCTGCCACGGAGCAGGGTGGGGTGGAGTGTTGGCACAGCCCACGCTCTGACAGCAGCAGCTTTCCTGCGCTGCCCACCCCCATTCTAAATGCCCTGTTCCCCACCCAGAAATCCCACCTGCCAGCACAACCAGAGCCAGCACAGACTGGAGCCCTGGGGGGTAAACAGCTCCCACCAAGGCCTCCTTCCTTGTCTGGTTCCCAAGCTTCCTGCACCTGCTGGTTCAGTGACAGACAGGCTGAATCCAGCCTGTTCCCCTCCCAGCCCCCGCAAACTGGGACCTGATCAAAACATCCGATTACAGCAGTGTCTTGTCATCCTCCAGGGCCTGGATTCCTGTTCTTCAGAGATATTGTGCTATGTGACCTGCAGACAATTGTTCTACACATTTGTCTCCTAAACCCAGCATGCATCAGTGGACAGGCTTTCCATTGTCCACTGATGAGAGGCCAGAGACAGGGAGGGGGAGGGAGGAGGGAGAGGGAGGAGGGGAAGCAGTGTGCTGGAAATGGCACCAAAGCAGGTGAGAGGAAGAGGCCCACAGTGTAAAACTAATTCACCAATCAAAATTTCAATATATGTACCCCAAACTCTAATTGCAATCATAATTGATGGTGCAGTTATACCCAAATGAAGTCATCTGACCATTACCATAAAATGAGGAATACATTTTATACACTAAGTAGAAAACTTTAAGAAAATGTTATTACCTGGTTTGTTCTTGCTGCAGTGTGTTGGGATCAGGTATAAAAAATCTTACTCGAAAATGCAGGGTACAGGGGAAACCTCCTACAACATTTTTCAAAAACACATTAAATTCCTCCTTTACAAAAAGTCAATGCATACAAGTTACTACTCTTCCCATAAACTCAACCACAGTTTTAAGCTCAACCACAGTTTTTCCATTATAAGAGGAGTAATTTCCAATAAGGAGTGCATAAATTACTGTTCCAGAAAACTCCCAAGTCTACAAAACATGAAGCATTCGTACAACACAGAGGCTGAACATTGACGCAGCAGAGGCTGTGGCAGTGCTAACTTAGGCTGTGTTCACACAATGCACTCTGTTATCTCTACCAGGAATTCTTAAGATCTTTAAATCAATTCACAAAGTACTAGCTTACATTAATATAGCGATGAAACATTTTCATGTACATTCCAGAATGTAAACACCGTTATGACTGTGAGTACGTTAAGCTGCTACTGATAGATGACCCCATTTTACAGATAAGCCAACTGGCTTAGAAATGTGACTTGCCTTAGGTCACACAACTAGTGAGAAACCCAGAATTGGAGCACCGAGTTTTGTGACTGCTATTCCACATTTCAAAGTCATTTTTATACTGGAAAACATTTCATGCTTTCAATGCAACGTGGATTAAAATGATTAATATGTAGTGAGTATGACACAAAGCACATACTCAAATATGACTGTGCATCAACACCAGTCAGTTCACTTGTGTGGATAAAATTAGTCCATTTCTTCTGATCGACATGGCAACAGAAGATAAGACGGTGTTGCTAAGATCCCAACATCGTCTTGTCAACTTCGCCCTCCCTCTGCACTTGGTGAACATGCTCTGCTCTGGTCTCGTCTCTGTGCTCAGCACTGTTTGCTCTGAAGTCAAGTCCTTCCCGAGCCTGCTCCCCTCGCTGGTCCGTGGCTCGCCTCCTTCTACCTTGGTTCATCCTAGGCTCCACCCTCCCCTCTCTTTAGGACCGTCTGTCTTCACTGTTTGCTGGTGTCCAATCTCTGATGGTAGATGTGCCCCTGAGTGCACCTCTGCGCGTGTGCCTGGGAGCCAGTGGGTGGTGCTGCAGCTGTGCGCAGGCTGACCATGAGCGGTCAGGGGACAGCAAAGTCCTCCCCTGCCCTGGGATGCTCTTCCACCCCTCCTGGCCCCCATTCTGCAGCTGGGCACTTTTGTTGTCTGGGGCCTGGTCGCTTTGACTTTCTCGTCCTCCTCTGTACACCCAAGGCCTCCTAGCTTAGTACATCACAGAACTCTTTCTCCTCTTGTCTCTTTCCACACGTGGCTGTGAGATACTTGGGGGTGGGGTCCAAATCTGATTTGGGCTGGATTTCCACCACTTAGCCCAGTGTCTGCTTGCTCAAGAATGAGTTAGTGAGAAAACCAATGACAGCCTGTGTCCTGCCTCGGGTGTGCTCATTCCCATGAATTCAAACAGTGGCCTGGCTCCCTTGGGTGCTCCTGAACACTAAGGTCACGATCACAGGAGGGAAGAACTCTGAGGTGGCTCCAGGAGAGGGCAGCATTAGGGTCAGAGCCACGACTACTTCTGTCTGCTCTTCCCACCTGGGGTCTGGGGCAGGCGGAGAGGGCGTTATGTGTATGTACACTTGTGCACACAAGTTAACCTGCCCGATACCCCGCAGCCACTCACTGGTCACCTCCTGTCTGTCAGGCACCAGGAGCAATGCGGGGAGGAATGCAGCAAGGATCCAACCCTCAAGGAACCATGGTTCTGAGAGGAAGCCAAGGGCACAAGACCATGAGACGAGGGCGAGAGTGTGCAGCCGTGAAGCAGGCAGTGCAACGGGAAGGGAAGACAGAGGGGTCCCGGCTTCTGGTAGGAGGAGATGGGGTCTGGAAGCCTTGACGCAGAGCAGGAGTTAGACACAGGACAAGGGCATCCATTCCCGGGGGAGGGAACAGATTGAGGGAAGGCACTGCACACTGGCCAGGTCTGTCTGGGGTCTGAGGGGCCCTGATGGGAAAATGACAGTATGGTGGAAAACCAGGCTAAGAGCAGATCAAGGCAGAGTATGGTTGAGGCGTGGCTGGGAGCTACCTGGGAGCTGACCTACAGCACGGGGAGCCACTCGTGGTGGGAACTCCATATTGTGAAAGGATTGATCTTTTACGTCTGAGACATTATCTACCCAGGGCTCAGCTTCCAGGAACTGTAACTGTGATGGTGGAAGGTAAAAGGGTTGGTCTGTGTCTGTCTTTCCCACCCGGCTCTCACCCTGGGCTGGGAAAGGCCTTCCTTCTTCCCCTGAGATACCTACTCTGGTCTGTCCCCTCCTCGCCCACAGCTGGCTGAGCACCCTGAGGCTGACCTGCGAGCACGTCTGCTAACTCAGAAGTCGGATGGGGAGCAGGCAGCTCACCCCTGTCTCCCGAGTCCCCTGGCATCTGGGCAGCAGGTGTGACAGGCATCCCGCTGACTGGAAGAAACAAGTCCCCACACACCAAATGTTGGACTGAAAAGAAAAGATCACACCAACCTTTCAACTGCTTCCTGATGGGTTTGCTTGACTCAAGCCATCTCTGTTGGTAAGAAAACACAAGCTATAAAACCAACCTGGGCAGGAGCTCAGCACATGTTACAGGCTGGCACTTACGGGGGAGTCCACCGAGTCGCCGCCATGCTGCAAACCAAAATACTCCTTTTCAGTCACGCCCAGGTGGGTGTATGCCATGTCCAGCAGCGACTGGCCAGTGTCTTGTTTCTAGGGGGAAAATAAATAAATAAATAGATAAATAAATAAATAATGGGAAAAATCTGAAAGCAAGTTAAGAACTGGTGGTGACAGCCTCTCCACTGCCCACTGAAGGGAGAGGATACAGCCAGAGACTTGACACACGTGCGCTTCCCACAGTAACAAAAGCGACCTCAAATTCCAAGTGACAAGGCTGCACAGCGCATTCGGGAGGAGGGCTGAGACCACACTAGGTAAATTCCACGTGAGACGGTATGAGCTGGCTTTCTGAGCTCTCCTTCTCCCCAGCTGAGGCTTCCGGGGGGTCCGAACCAGAAAACCCACACATTATGACCACAGCAACCTCACCGTGACCTGACCAAGCATCACCCGCCACGAACACCAATCCAGGGTCAGCTTCTGCTGGCTCCTGGGGACGCCAGTGGCTCCCGCCCCTGCAGGGACCCAGGAGTGTGCGCCCAGGGGAGGAAAACTCTTGACCAGCTGCTAAAAATACTTGAATGCCATTGGAAATACCCTCAGAGTGAGCTGGCCTGTGTCGCCCTGTGGGATTATCTGCCTCGCTGAGGAGCCGGCAGGATGTTCAGCCACGCTTCACTCCACAGTGGGACAGCACCGCTTCACCCCGCGGTGTTTACAGAAAGGCGCGTGTCAGCACGGGACAGAGCCAGGGTCAGCGTCCCTCTCCTGCTGGCCGTGGAAGCAGTGGCTGTAACATGGATTATTAAGTACCGCTGAGTACGCTGAACCCAAGGGGACGGTACAAACGGTCAACTCCCCTGGGGACAAGCAGAAGCAACCCCTGATATCTGGGTTTGCAAGGATGACAGGGCCGAGGACGACACACACTTCTAGGTGTGCAGGCACTTGAGGCCGACGGCTGGGTGGCCCGGCACAGCGAAGGCACGAAGGCATGGTAGAAGGGTGGGTGGGATGGGGCGTGGCTGCAAAAACAGCCGGGCATGTTCAGGAAATCACAAATTCTATTTTAACAGGCAGGTTTCTCAGGAATCCTTTGAACCAAAACATTTAATATGGGGACAACGTGAGTCAGAAATGGACAGGGCACAGACGCGGCAGGAGCAGCTCTTCTTTTGAGTGCCTGACAACAGATAATGGACTTGGAAATAGGTCACGGTGACCGGGACCAGGAGAATTCCAAGACAGTCAGGCCCTTCCCGCGGCCTCACAGGATCTGTTCAGCAAGGGGAACTCAAGATACAACATCTCCCAACACACCTCTGGCCTGTCCTGCCCCCTCGTCCAACCAGGGCTTCGCCCACCCCAAGAGAATCTGGGTGGGTGCGGGAAGAAGGATCAGGCCCCACATCCCAAGTCCTGAGACACTCGCCCTCCAAGCTGTGGGGAGCTCTCCTAACCCTAACCCAACCCCCAAGTTTACAACTGTGAGGATAGTTCCACAAAACTGACACAGGCTCATTAAAGTAGGTTGAAAATCATTATCGAGGGCTTCGATGCCCTTACATATGTACATGAAATATATACAAAGAGGTAGAGATGTTTTTTCAAACACTGTTGTCATTCACCTATTACTTTTCTCAGAGGAACAGAACTCTAAAAGCAGTATCAGCTGGGCACAATGGCACACACCAGTTACAGTAATCCCAGTTACTCAGGAGGCTGAGGCAGGGGGATCACAAGGTCAAGGTCAGCCTGGGCAACTAAGTAAGACCCTGCCACAACATAAAATATAAAACAGTGCTAGGGATGCCGCTCAGTGGTGGGTCACTTGCCTAGCACATGTAAAACCCTGGGTTTTATGCCTTGTAGAAAAGGAAAAAATTGAAAAAATAAGTAAAAACATGGTATTTATTTCAAAAGTCACCCTAAGTGGTATACTTGTTATTCGGTTTAAGTTTTAATAGGCATCCCACATTTGGGACAATGAGACTTAAAAGGTCAGTGCATCAAAGAGCTATCTGCTCCCCTTGTTATTCATCACTTAAATATGACTTCATATTACATGAAGTGACTTACTGGAAGTCTACAAGCAGCAGATATAATACCACGTGCACTTTTCACATCTGACCTCCAATATTTGTGGTAATTTTGCAAAACAGCCATCACCAGCCCCCTCACCAGGGAGCAGCAGAGGCTGCTCCATGCCCTGCACCATCACCCCGACTCGGGTCTCACTGACACCAGGGCTCAAGTGCTCCCCGCACCACACCTCCAGTGCATGATTCCAGCACACGGGGATCAATTATGTATGATTCACCCAACTCTAGAAAGAAATCGAAATAGAATTAAAGACACATTTCTAATAAGGACTGGCCTGTCCCCACCACACAAGAGGTCATCTCTTCTGCCCTGGCTCACTGCCAGCGGCCCCCGGGCTCCTGGCTGGGGTGGGAATGGCTCACATCCGGCCAGCTTCCCCGAGGATGCTCCTAGCACAGAGGGTCCAGGCTAGGGTTGGGGGAGACTGCGTGGCCATCCCACGGGCAGGAACACACCTGCCCACCCAGGGACGCCACCTGTCGAGTTCCACGCGACTAAACACTCAGGGTCACTCCAGGGGAACTGGGCTGCATGAAATAACCGCACAAGAGACAGAAATACCTTTTTCTTTGGGGGTTCTGTGATGGCTCCTCTGACCTTAAGGGTCCGCAGAAAGAGACAGAGCCCATGTGCTGATTCCTTTTATTGAGGAGAAGCCATTCAAATGAGGCAGGGGGTCAGGTTTCAGGGGGCTGAGTCTAGCTTCATGATGTCCACTGTTAGCAGGTTGAATGACATCTAGGAAGGCCACACCCAAGGGCAGAGCAAGAGAAGGGGACACACAAAGGGCATTTCCATGGAACATTCTATCCTAAACAGGGCAAGGGGTAATATCACAAAGGAACAGGAGAGCATAGCTCCACCCACGGGGCTGCGGGAAGGCACGCCCATGCACGAAGACACATTTGCGTTTTCTCTATCCTCAAGATCAGGGCTACCGTTTGCGGTTACTTAAAGCAACCAGATCATGGGGTGACCGACAGGGCCACACAGATCAGGAGAGGAAGCAAACCTGGTCACATGCTATGTCGGCCTCCCACACAACGCGAGGGACATTCTGATCCGCAGCCAGGCCCTCGGGCTCCACCAGGTCAGCTCTGGACCAGGCCACGGCAAGCTCCAGGTGGCGGCAGCAGGAGAACAATGATGTGAGCACCGAGAGCTTCTGGGCCTCTTCTGAGACCCACAGCCAGCGCCCCAGGCAGGCCCTGGCCTTGCCCGCTCGTCACAGGGCTGGTCTCCTTCCGACAATGCATTTATACCCGAGTTCCTCAGACACTGCTGCGTGGTCTCTCCCGCCTCCCCTGATGGTCCCCCTCAGCCTCCCGATCGCTGCCACCTCTACCCCCTTTAAACCTCAGGCCTCAGCCCTGTCTTCTATGGGAAGGCACTCACTTCTCAGGTGGTCTCACCCAGCTTCATGGCTTGACCCACTGCCTCCACCTTGGTGAAATCCGCATTTATAACCCCAGCCTGACGGGTGCATCGATCCTCATCTCCACGTTTCTATGGAGACGAATAATTGGCCCCTCAAACTTCACATGTCCACAAGAGAACTGGTCATTTCCATCCCCAAACCTGCCCTTCCCGCAGCCTTCCCATCGCTATAAACTCCAACTCTGTGTTGCCAGGCTGCTCAGGCCAAAACCCTTGGCGTCACCTTGAGGCCTCTCTCAGTCTTTCACACCCCAGATCCCAGCTCTCAGCAAATCCTATTGGCTCCATCTTCAAAGTGTTTCCAGACGTGGATTCCGCTCAGCCACCTCCACAAGCTCACTCTGCCCCCTCATCAGCATCTCTCCCGAGACTGTCCACAGTCCCTCAGCCCTTTCCTTCCCTGGCTACTGCCCACATGGCCTCACAAGTGACAGCTGAGCCAGATCATGTCAAGTGTCTGTCCAAAGCTACACAGTGTGAAAGCTGGTGCTCCCAGAAGGACTGAGAGGCTCTCCATGATCCCCCACTGCATTCTCACCTCTGTTCTCCCTCTGACCTTATCTCCTGCTGCTCTCTGCTTATTCCACTCTAGACACACTGGCGTCTATACTGTTCCACAATCTCACTACATGGGCCTCAGGAGCCTCAGGGCCTTTGCACTGCTATTCCTTCTTCCTGGAATGTGCTTCCTCCAGACAATCACATTCATCTTACCAGTGAGGCTTCCCAATCATGTCTAAAAACTGACAGTCCCACCCATCTCCTCCCACTGGGCTGTAAACTTCAAGAGGCAGTGACTGTGCTCTATTTTGCTCACTATGATTTTCTCGGTAACCAGAACAAAGGCTGGCCCATAGTTAGTGCTCAGTAAACACTTGCTGAATGGATAAATGAGTAACCTACTAGCGAACATTCACCGTCTGATCAGGAAGAAGCCATATGGTAGAGGAATACCCCCAACACAAACAGATTTTAACAAGGAAGTCAGACACATATTACGCGGTCACCTTGCAGCATCCAGACCAACACCTGTGACCTTCTCAGGGCTTCATATTATTAAAAAGGAAACTCTACGTAAGAACCAAAGTAGCTGCTTTCTGGAGGAAACGTGCCAGACCCTGCCAAAAGGGCCTAAAGCATCATCATATGAGGAGACTGCGTGAGGAGCATCACAAACCCCTCCCCAGGGGGCGGCAGAGGCTTGCCCAGCCCACATGAGGCCCTGGGTTGGATCCCCAGCACCAAAACAAAACAACAACAACCAGGTCGCAGGTGTTTATGTGAACCCCCAATCAGACTTTGGAGACAACTAACTAGACAACTGAAGTCCCCTGCTAGATCTTTCCTTTCTTGCTACAAAAATATTTCCCACCCTCAAAAGAATGGTTCCTGGACCCTAGGGAGGAGCTGGAGGTCTGGGAGCTGAGGAAGCAGCTAGAGCCCGGAGGACCTCAGTCTCCACTGACCACCTCTATTCTGCGGTCAAGCGACCAAATGCCCATAACCTGAGTCTCGTCCTCTCCTGGGCAGATGCCCAGGGCCCAGCTCCTGGTGGTGGTCCTTTCCCAGTCTGGGAGAAGACAGAGCACCCATGATGCTGTTAGGCTCCTCTCCTCTTCCCTGCACCAAGGTCCCGGCCCCTGGGGTCACCAGGAGGCAAGCTTGTGGGTGGGTGGGAGCTGCAGGGGCTCTGGGTCCCCAGACTGTTCTCCTGTGTGTCTCTGTTTCACACCTTTCCTCACATACTAGGCCTTCTGGTAGGTTCAAGGTTGGGGTTGACCCCTTTAGGACTGGCCAGAAGATGGGAGAGAGGCAAAGGTCACCGCAGGCAGTGACCAGAGTGGATGGCCAGCAGGGGCTGCTACGGTCCCCACATTTGACAGCTGCTGGCCTGGAGGCCTGTTCCCAACCCTGGCTGGGCCAAGGGCTAAGTGGGAAAAGCCAGGATCTCCAGGACTCCTGCCACGAGGCTGCCCATCTTGGGACCCACCCATTCACACATTTAACGATCACCTGCTGTGTACCTAGCCCAGTGCCAGCAGGACACCCTCCCTGTCCTCCAGGAGCCCACAGTTTAGTAGGTGACACGTAATCTAATAATTATAACCATGTCTTAAAACTGCAGCGTGACGTGGGATCCAAGGAGGCACCCACAGGGCACCACTGTTCAGAACCAGCTCTGCTTCAGGAGGTCAGCGGGGACTTCACAGGAGCAGCAGCAGCCAAGACCCCTACGGTTCACGTCACAAAGGAGAGGGCAACAGCGAGGCATGGGATACGGCTCCAGGAGTATTTCCAGTCCAGTCTCAAGAGACAAGACCTGACATCTCAACTTTCATCTTAAAAATCATCTTTTTCTTCATTTTGTAAGCTGAGAGATGAGAACCGTTTCCTTGGAGCACTAATGCATTGAAAGCAAGGATGGAGAACTTACGTTAACCTTAAAGGTCTGGACCAAGCCATCTAAAAAGCGTATGCTGCAGACGACTTCCGATCGGGCTTTCTCTTTGGGTAACTCCGAGGTGCGTATGTTATTAATTCTTCCACCCAACGCGCGTAACCGGGAGGTCATAACTATCGTTGAGTAACCTGTAAGGTGAAACACACCGTCAGTGAGTTCATGTGCAAATTACCAGCTACCTGTGAACACCTTAGCCTACCCAGGCCCTTCACAACTGTTGGCTTTTTTTTTTTTCCTTCTTCTTTTTGCCAACTTGAAGAATTTTATTGTTCATCTCTCTCGAGAGTCTTTCTGGGAGGAAGACAAATGTGATTTTCTGAAGCTCGCCTCAGATGTGTACACTTTGGTCTACGCTGACATGGGTGATTCTCTTACCGTTCACATTGTTGAGGTATCATTTCACAGGTGATCTTTCTATTCTCTTTGGTGGTTTTCAAACTTCTTTTTTTTTTTTTTGATACAATCTTGTCTGAGAAACTCACAGGTAAAGAAAAGTGTACACAAACCAGGTTTCCACTTGCATTGATCAAGCAAAATGCACTGCTCAATTATAACATGCTTGTAGAATTACATGGCTTATTTGTCTGTCTTATTATCTCACAGGTCTATTTCTTCTTCTAATTTCTTCTAACTTCCCAGGCTTTAGATTTCTTATTTAAGTTTTGCTGTCTTACGTTTTTGTGTAGTTTACCCTCAGGTTTTACAGAAGTAAGTGTGCCCTAAATATGATTTAAAACATGAACAGGTTTACTGATAAATTGGATGGTATTAAAATGAAAGACTTGTACTTATTAAAAGGGCACACTTAGAAGAGCAAAAAGACAACCCAGAGGAGAATATAATTGCAACATACAGATTTATAAAGACTGCATTAAGTGTTCTACAACTCAGTAAGGAAAAAAAAATACTAGAAAATGGGAAGAAAACATAATCAGGTTTTCAATCACATGATTTGTGAAAGAAATGCAAAATGAAACCACAAAGCCATAGTTCCACACACCTGCCCAGAGCCTGAAGGTCACATGACCTCCTAGGAGGCTGTGGAGGGGTGGGGGGTGTCGCTCACGCACTGCTGACAGGAACATAAATCAGAGCAACTGCTTCAAGAAACTGCTGGGCAATATCTACCATGCCGAACATATCCACATTCTATGACAAGACAATCCCAGACCTGGTCCGTTCCCAACACAAAAATGTACATTTATTCACAAAAAGATACATGCGAGAATCTCCATAGCAGTCCCACACTGAAAAAGTGCCTCTCTCCCACTGAAAAAGACCTAAATGGCCATCCACCATAGAACCCACCAACTGCGGTCTGGTGGTCATACCGGGCACTACCACAAAGTGAGTGACAGACATGAACTACTGCTGCCATCGACGACGAGAAAAGAATTTCTCTAATGTTACCTTGGATAATAGAAGATGGTTACAACAGGTCACGTGTCGCTACACTTACATAAAGTTAAACAGGCAAAACCAACCAAGGCGGATCAAAGGCAGAGTGGCAGTCCCTCTGCTCAGAGTGCCAAAGTGCTCCCAAGGAGCCTTCTGGTGCTTTCCACAGCCTGTCTGGGTGCGCATGCTAACATGCTCCTGTTCTCACTCTGAAAATCCATCACATTCATGATTCGGACATTTTTCTGCATGTAAGTTTGCTATGCTTTGAATACAGTGTGTGTCCCCAGGGGCTCCACTGCAATTGAGGGGTTGTCCCCCAGGTGGCGCTGCTGGGAGTCGGTAGAACTTTGGAATGTGGGGTCTGGCCGAAGGTCCCTAGATCACTGGGAGTGATCTTATGAGACCCCTTTGGTAGCTTTCTCAAGAGGGCTGTTATTAAAGGAACAGGCCTGACGCTATCGGTCCTTCTTCTTCTGGTTTGAGATGCAACCCTTGCTCCCCTACACAGTCCCGCCACTGCCACCCCCCAGGCTGTGATGCAGCAAAGAACTGAGTCAGTGCTACCGCCATGGCCCTGAACCTCCAAAACTGAGTTAAATAAACCTTTTCTTTTCATTTGTAGCCTGTGTTGGGTATTTTAATACAGTGAGGAAAAACTAGTACAACGTTATATTTAATAATAAATTTTTAAAAACAACAGCAGCGCAGTGCAGAGGGGCATGCCCTCAATCCCAGGAACAGAGAAGATGTAGATCTGACAGGATTAGGGGGAAGAGCAAACACAGATGAGGGTCTTAAGGGCAAGTAAATCCTTTCTTAATCCCCTATAAACCTCCTCTACTGAGCTGGGCCTTTGCATGTGCTGCCCCTTGTTTGAGATGCAAGTCCTGTCTGCACGACTTGCTTTCTCTTCAGTTCTCATCCTGATTTCACACTCACAATTCAGTGAGTATTTAACAGTTGCTTCTCCCATTAGACACTGAGCTCCACAAAGGCAGGAATCAGGTCTGGTTTTGCTGACTGTATCTTTAACACTTAGCTCTGGGAGGCAGTCAATCAGTATCTGAATGGATAGAAAATGAAATGAAGAATCAAACAGAAAACAAAGCCACGATTTCCAGTCTGGAACAAGAGCGGTACAACCAAGAGACAAACGTGGATGGGAGCGAGCAGGAGACAGGATGGGATGAGAGAGGGTGGAGGGGAGACGCCCCACGGACCAGTGTGTCCCAGTGCAACACAGAGGTCCTTGGGAACTGATGAGAATGCAGACTCGGGGGTGCCAGCAGTCCCTCAGTCTCCCAGGTGATGCCCAAGATACGCAACCAGCGTTTGCCCTAAAAGGAGCAAGTCCAAGATAAATGGAAAATCAGCACTAAATGTCAGGGCAGAGACTGAGGTTTGGGAAACTAGCAAAGGTTGTTAAACTAACTCGGCTCTGGAAGGGATGAGGACAAAGCAGAGTGCGGACCTGAGAATGAGGCTTCGGAGACCTACAGATACATCCTGGTGCAGAAGGAGAAAATTCAAAGAATGTGACAACTGTGTAGAAGGTACATGCAGGAAGACAAGGTCTCTTATCAACGTATTTGAGAAGCTCCAGGTAAACCAACATTCTTCTGTAGACAGTGACAGGAAATCTCGAATATTAATAAAAAAAATAATTCCTGGGACCGGCAGTGCAGAGAAACATATTCAATCACTTATAAAATTCCACCCACCCCAACACCTCCACCTTGCCCTTTTCATTGAAAATGTCATCAGAAGCAGGGATGCATGTTCTGAGTAATACAAAAAGTTACCAAAAGACAACAAATGTGTTCCATAATGCTTTAACCCACATTGAATTTAAAATGTCAGTTTTGTTGCTTAGCTCTTGTCTAAGAATCTCAGGTGGGTTACAATAATAAAAAAATAAAATAAAATAAAAGATACAATAGAATCATTCCAAGTGTGGTTTTGGTGGGAGGTGCACATCAGCATGGGGGGGGGGGGGGGGCTTTCAAAAATGACTCCTGTCCTGGCCCCGCCCCAGGGTGATTCAGCACTCTGGGGTGTGGCACACAATGGCATTCCCTTTGGGAGGCCCTCCAACAAAGGGCCAGGCAGTGGAGAGACAGTGTCTGGACGGCTGGGCTGGGAACAGAGGCTGGGTGGAATCTAGGCCACTCACCGTGGGGCCTGTGAAGAAGCTGGGGGGCAGTTCTGCAGAGCAGCACCTTAAGCAGAGCTGATCACACAGTGGCCGGGACAAGAAACCTACAGTGACTTCAAACAGGAGCTTGCAATGAAAGTCACGTGGGCATGGACTTGCAAACTGCTCCTCACAGTGATGCCAGCATGGGGTCCTGACCCCGACCTGTGGCACCTGTGAATTTAACCACGGCTAAGGATGGCTCCCAGCATGGCCACTCAGCCAGTGGACCAAATAAACCAGAGGAGACAGGGTTTTCCCTCCCTGTATCCACTTCTGACTGTCACACAAAGGGCTTGGAACCATAGAAAGGTACTTTATGAAAGTTGCAAAAATGTTCTTCCTACAATTGTTCCTAAAGGGAACCTTGACAAGAGTGTGCCTGATGTTGAACGACCACATAATCGAGCCACGTGATGTTTTCAGATTGTCTTGAAAGTGTATCTTAAACACTCTAATGGGGACAATAAATGCTGACTAATTGTCCTGTTTCCTGTACCACGGCAATTGGGGAACTCAGGGTTTCTATGGCTTCCTTTATGAGCCTCTTAATTCTCAACAAAGCCACAACTCAAACAGGAACACACTGACCTCTGTGACCACAAATGATCACAGCCACAGCTGAAGCCACTTAGAACATGGACGCCAAGCCTATTCTTTGCATAATTAAAAAAAAAAAAAAATCAAACAGTTAAGTTTTAGAATGCTTCACATACTAGCCAGTAAAGGTTGTTCTGTGAACACAGTTTTCAGTGAAAACACAATAGGAAGAGGCAACATCTCACTGTGCACACAGCAGGGGCTCACTAAATACCTGAAGTCAGATATAGCTTATGTAAAGCACCTGCCCAATGTGGAACACATACTGTGTACTCAATAAAAGACATTTTATTTATATTAAGCTTCTGATGCTACCAGGTGCTGACTACAGATCCCAGATTTTGTAGGACTATCTTGATGTCGAATACCTTATAGAAGTATAAATGTTTCATTCCTTAAAATTTTATTCTTTTAAATAAAGTGCTTACTAGAGCTAAAGGCAATATTTTTAGATGTGTGATATACCCTTGAGCTGCTCTACAAACTCAAAGGAACCAGATGCAAGGGCACCTTGGCACAAAATCGCCACACCCTGGGCATGAGGGACACCAGGGCCCTGGTGGGAGGGTTGGATAACCTGGCTCCCACTACTGTCCCTCTCCGGCTGCCCTCAGCCTTGGAGGAGAGGTTATGGCGCTGCTTTGTTTCTTAAGGGTCTGTCTCCATGCTGATCTGCAGAACTCCGTTCTTTCAAAAGTCAATGAACCACAGACTGAAAGAAGGACGAGCAGCTCACACCAGTGAGACAGCCAATCCAACTCTATTTGAATCATTTTAAAAGGAAATGCAAATTATCCCCCACCCTTGTTTTTAAAAATATGCTCAGGTCTCTAACTCAAGAATGTAAGTTTTGGTTTAAAAAATAAAGAAGAAAGTGGTCTTGACTCATAAACACCTAATTTGTGAGAATCTTGGGGTGGCTTGCTCCAG